GTGATAAATCTCAGTCATGTTAGTCAAAAAAATGTCTCTCCCTATGGCCAGCCTAAGAGTGTTATTGACACAGGAGCATTTTTGTTATTGGCACAGATGCATTTTTACTGAAGTGTTATTCTAATGCTTAAAGCCCAACTGAATATTCAGTTTATAACGACTAAATACTTCCCAGGTACATCAAAACAAAATGTGTGGAAAGTCTTATGGTTCTTTAGAAAGTAAACCCAGCCTGAGTAGAAAGTAACCCCAGCCTGAGTAGAAAGAACTTTCCCCTGCCAGCATGCTGCAGAGAAGGACTCTTGCTCTCTGGATGCAGAAGCGGTCTCTCTGCAGGGCTCTGACACGCCCACTGCTGAGTTAGAGCTTGAGCTCTTGAATCAGCAAGGAGCATGAGCTTTATTAATTGGAAAGCTCTAACTCTTACTCAGCTGGGTGCATGCTGGACCCCTGCAGGGAGACCACTGCTTCCACACAGAGAGCAAAGATCCTTCTTTCTAGCATGCTGGCAGTGTCAGGCTTTTCTACTTAGGCTGTGGCTGCTTTCTAAAGAAAAGGAACGGAAAGACTTACATCTTCTATTTTGATGCACATGCAATGTATTAAGCTGATTTAACTAAAACTATAGTTGGTTTTAAAATATGACATATTGTACCTCATTTTCCTTCCTTTTTTCAACTACATATGTTAGTTGCTTAAATTATAGGACAGCTAATAAAAATGACACCAAGCACCTTCTCTTCCTGTTTATAGAATGTATCTTACGGTTTATTTCTCCCCCAAAATTTAAACAAATTCTTGATCTAATGACTGCCCACTGAGGACTTGTTTACACCTCTTCCACTGGATCGAATCCTGGCCAACTCCCTGCGTTCTGGGGTGAGAGGGGGCATGGAGGTGCCTTCAAGTCAATAGCACTGCAGCCACATCCCCCCCACCCTCAGTGTGTTTTGCCCGCACAAGAACGTGTGGCACATCAATGCTTGTGTTCAGGTCAAGTGCGATGGCAAAAAATGCTGCATGCACTATTTTTTGCGATCACACTGGACCGGAACGCAGGCATTGATGTGCCATGCGCTCTGGTGCACGCAGGGAGCCAGCCAGGATTTGATCCAGTGTGTTCCAGCATCTAATCGTGCTGGAGCGCACTGGAAGTGGTGTGAGCAAGCCCTGAATGCTGTCAGATGAAGGTGCCATTTGCAATATAACACACAGTCTCTGCCTGTCTCTTTTCTGATATGATGCATCAGCTCAGCATTCAAAATGTATGAAGATCACACTCCCACTATCTTTTGGACTCATGTGATGGTTGCATACAGCAATTTTATAAGTTGATCACTCTACGCTTGTGTGACAGACAATGCAAGAGCAAGATCCACCCATTTAAATGCATTTCAGCTGTAGATAGTTACATGGTACTTCTCCATGAAGATCCTCAAGTCTTCAGATCTTGTGTTAAAGATATAAAACTATTCTTATTAACCTTTTGTGGATTTGTTGCTTTCCTTTATTATAAATGTATTCCTGCAAGTATGGTCTTCAAAAGTGAATCCAAAACTGCAGGAGAGGTCCAGCTAATGCCCAGCCTGGAGTTTGACTTAAAAATTTGATGTTACGCAAATTATTACCAATAACAGACAATTATTGTATAATTGTATGTTTGTTTTTTTCCATATTCCTGTAGTTATACTTTTATCCACATGTGTGCGCCAAGCAAGCTATTCACAAAAGCAACAATGACATCGGCTGGGGACAATTATTACACCTGCAGGGGTACCAACAATGGTAAATTTTTGGGACCTTGCATGCTACCATGCATTATGGTGCACTTTGTTATGGTAGCCCTTTTATTTTGGATAGAGTGGCAGTGCATCTTGGTGCACGAAATATTGGGCTTCCACCTTTTTATGTTTTAACCCGTTGCAACACACGCCACGTGAGTTCTTGTGCACTACCTTGTCCAGTTAAAATTAATGGAGCAAATGCTTGTTAAAATGTGTTTTACTGCACGTTAGGGCAATGCAAGTTTCATATTCCCATGGTTTCATTTAATTTTTTTAAACTGTAGCTTCAACTATTGAAGCGATCTGGCAGTGTTTTAGCTTGCCTGCACTCCATTTGCTCAACAGCATTTTCTATCTAAAAATATTAGAAAAATTAAGAAAAATATAAATACATAAAGAAAGAAAATCATATAGGGAATCCTATTATCCTATTATTACATGCCTTACCTGCAACCGACATCACAATATAAACGACTGCAGTGAGGCTGATTTGCTAAAGGAGTAACAGGCTGTTCTCCCGGCAAGGTGAATGATCGTGAATAAGGAGAAGCTGTTTTTACTATGAATACCTAATAATAATGTCCAAATATTTCCGTTTTTTTGTTATTATTATTATTATTAGTATTATTATTATTATTATTTCTTTGCACTTGATTGAATATTAACATGGCTTCACCCTATCATTAACACTCACTTTTTAAAAGTGAACATTCAATAAACTAGGTGAAGAGGCCCTACTCCTTTAGTAAATCAATGGTAGTATGTTTATGGCATTGCTGGCATAATGTCATTTGGTATGTCTTCTGATTGGGATGGGGGGCAGATAAACACATTACACTTATCCAGCTGGCTCAGTAAATTGAAAATATGTAAATTATTAGGAAACTGCTGTAAAAGGAAATGTGAGCTGTGAGCTATTCAAGTGTGGCATATAACATATGCACACGATTATATGCACACAAACATAGCATACGATTATGATTACACAAACACATAACAAACCATTTTTCTGTAAAAAGACTTTAATTTTAATAAATAGCTCAGATTAATAAATAAAGACAATATGTTCCCCAGATAAAATTTAGGGAGCAATGAGGAAAACATAAGGGATGGAGGGCATTGTTTTGCTACCTCCTCCGTCTTTGGAGGATGCCCAGTTTCACAGTGTAATTAGGGGATTTAACGCCCGAGGTAATTCAGTCTCCAGCACGGAAGATTTAAGACACACGAAACGGGGATTGGGCAGACGTTGCCATTGAAAACACCCCTGGTGTTGGGTAGGAATGGGCAGAGGGTTGCTACGTTTCTGGCAAATACCTAATTTGTCTTGCAATGTAATATAAAAAAGCACAAGTCTGTCACGTCCTTATTGCACATGATTATTATGTTGCAAAATGTTTATAAAAAATATTGTCCGATGTCCAATTTTCTTTTTGCAAGTAAAAAACCCTGGTTCCTCTTTCCATTTATCGTTCCATGCAGCATGGTTATAAAGGGATTACCTCTGTCATCCTGCAGATTAATGTTGTGTAATCTCTTCTTGTTCCATGTAAACCTCTGTTGTACTTGGTTAATGAAGGTTTATATGATGTAACAGTTCAATGTATAAAATGCAAAAGGCATAAAGAATCATGTGTATTGGTATGCAGCCTTTGCATTTGAATAGTGTATAACTGTCCTGTATATATATAGTATATACTCAATTCATATGCAAAGTCTCCACCAATCCAGCTTAAAGTTGGACTCCAAGCAAACAGCTACATACAGAGTTCAAATGCAAATATGGAAACTGTCTTATCTGCCATAGATTTTCTTCATTCTGTCTAGCCGTGTCTGTGATTTATACATCCCTGGTAAAAAATCAAAGTCTCCTGATTAGGAAGAAACTGACACCAATGTCTTCTTTAGTAGTGGTGTCATGTCCCCATTTACAGCCTGCTCATTGGATAATGAAGATGCAGGTAAGTCATTAACTCTGCTTACTTTCCATTTTAACATGTTCCCTGTCAGCACATGTGCATTCAACAGAGCCTGATTGGCCCAGAAACTGGCCATACACTATGTGACTTTCAGCGGATTGGCACGGTGGGTGGCCCTGTCAGCACCCTTCCGTCTGGCATCCTTCAATCAGAAAATCAAAGGAGCCAGATGGAAAATCTTCAGTATTCTAAAAGTGGCACACCCGTTGCTGTCAGAATACAAAGCACACAGTGGGAGATTCCTCCATCCACACTGTTTAGCATTAAATGGAGGAATCTGTTATATTGTTCTCGTTCAGCAATATAACAGTGTTTGGTCAGCTTTAGCACTGCCCCAGTCTGCTGTGCAGAGGAAGACAAAGGCTGATATGAAGGCAGATTCAGGTACTCATAGTAGTGGTATATCAAATACATTTAATTATGTATTTAAGGAATATACAACTGCATTGAATGGTGGTTTTATCTGTCTGGAGTATAGCTTTAAGAACAAACCTTTAACCAGCCCTAAGTCAGCTCAATCATCAATTCAGATGATGCTGCCCATATGGACATACTGTCATTATAAGCGTTGACTGCATTCTGAAATAATGAGATGTTGCTGGCTGACAGGAGAGAAGGACACACGTTTTGGGGTTGGCATTGCTAGACATGTATAAAAATATACATATATGTTTTTAGTGCATCACTTTGCCCTTAGAGGACATGCACCTAGTGCAATACTTCCACCCAGTAGTGTGTATGCATATCAGCTACTAATTATGAGTGCTGCACATGGCAAGGTCATGTCACCACAGGAGAGAACAGGAACATTAGCTATTACCTGCTTAGAAGGGTAGATGTGGCCTGACAATGACTGATAAGATCGGGTTAGATTAGAAGTAGGCAGTAGTAATCTGGTGTGGAAATGCAAACATCCAAACTAGGTTAAGTATGGCTATGGTCAATAAGTAAACACTTGGACATGCCTTGGTTAACCTAAAGTAATCTGAGGGCATCTCAATAATCTCCACTTTAAAGCAGTAAAATGACAAAATACCATTCTTGCACGATATGTATAATACCACAGTGCCATGGAGCATTTGAGGCTAACATGTTCCTAGACATATGACGTTAAGCTCTCTCCTTAGGTCACATGAGTTCTTAGCTATAAAAAAAAATAAAGTTAGAATAACTATTATAAACTATTTATGTCACCAAAACCTACAACTGCAGGATGTGTCATTTTCTTTTTGCTCAAGCAATTCGAGAACTGTGACATAAATTTGCATCCGATTCACATTTTGTGATCATATCATCGGCACACCTTTTCTGTCGATAATACAGAGTCTGTTTGAACTGGGATGTGAGATTGTGAGGCTCCTCTGGGATTTCAGACTGCTGCTGTAGTATTTTACTGTGAGTGAGCTGATAGACTGCTGGGGTGTGAAGTTAGATTTTCTGCAGACACTGAAGCTGTGCGTCCCCCGGGATCTGACTCTGCTTTTCTAATTGGGCTGCAGGCTGTCAATGATCTGTTGGTTTCTTGTAGATTTTAATTCTTGTGTAATCGTGACTCGTTGTGTTTCTTCCTCTCCATCCTTTCCCCCTCCATACCAAAGTCTTTCCTTTCTTCTTTTCTCTTCATCACACATCACTCTCAACACCCCGTAGCCTGGGGACCAATATTCTTGGGGTAATTCCAGCGTTCAGATCAGATTCAAACTCCAAAAGCTGCCCCATAAAATTTAGGTTAGGAGATATGATTGGGCGCTTTCCCTTCACAAACTTGTATGCATCTCCCACAGTCATCAGAGTGTGCTTCATTAAGTAGGCGATGACCACGGTCGCAGATCGAGAAACCCCAGCCTGGCAGTGGATCAGCACTCCTTTGCCTTTTTGCTGAGCCTCTTCTACAAGAGATAACAAGAGATGATTGTGAAACATCTATAGAAATTATCTGGGCATATGACATCTTTTCATGCCTGTGACTTTAACACCTTGCTGCCCAGGCAATTTCTTACTATTTGCACAAACACATGATAAAATATGAATTTTTGGTGAGAAAATAGCTTCAGACCCCCAAACAATCATATATTTTCTGAAAGCAGAAGCCCTGTAGAATAAAAAAATGCTAGTTGCAATTTTTGTATAACGCATGGTATTTGCACAAATGTTTATCAAACCGGTATTTTTAGGATAAAATACACTATAATGAAATTGAGTTAAAAAAACTGAATATAATACCCAATTTTTTGGTAAAATATAAAAGACAGGGTCACACCGGGTTAATAGACACCAAACATGTCAAGCCTTACAATTGCGTTCGCTCGTGAAACTGCAGAAAACTACAATACACTAAATTCCCATAGGCGACGTATTTAAAAGATTTTACTGCTCATCAGTTTAGTGTTACCAGTGATTAACCTCCCTGGCGGTAATCCCGAGTCTGGCTCGGGGTGAATTTTCCATGCTATGAGCGGTAACCCCGAGCCAGACTCGGGGTTGCAGAGAAAAGTGACACACCTAGAATGATTGCTCTTACTCCGATGTTATGTAACGTGTGGCGCAATTTTCGTTTTTGCACATTGCCGCACCAGGCGCGTGTTTGCGTTGTACGTGCATGTACGTGCATGTACGTGCGGGGCGTGGGACTTGAATAAATTAAAGTAACATTAAAAAAATATTTTTAATTTTTTTTTTACACTCAACTTTATTGCTACCACATAGGGGGTTAACATGCCCCCCATGTAATATCAAATATAATGTGACAGATCCTCTTTGTGGAGATCTGCTTCACCAGCTTCTTCCCCTGGGTCTATGAGCCAGGGAATGTGCACAGTGACACCGGAAGTGATGTAATACATATCACTTCCGGCTCCAGTGATTGGAAGAGAGATCAGCGGCTATAAGCTTGCTGACTCCCTCCGATCTGTCAGGGGAGACCCACTGTGCCGGTCCTGGGCCCGCACAGGGGAAAGCAGAGCAGGGTAAGCCGGCGGCGGATGAGCGGGGCACACATTCCGCCGCACCGTACAAGCGATCCGGCGTCTGTATAGATGTATGTCAACAAGTACATAAGGAAAGAACATTTCAAAATGGAGTCTATGCAGATGATCCTGAGAATCATCCAGCCATCAGATTGGATGCTTTCTATTGACTTGAAAGATGCGTATTTCCACATTCCAAATCAACCCAAGTTTCCAAAAGTTTCTGCGTTTTTCAATTGGTCAGCTACACTACCAGTTTGTTTGCCTCCCATTTGGGCTTACCACATCACCAAGAGTCTTCACCAAAGTGCTTCTCGCACTGGTAGCTTTGCTTCAAATAGACAAAAATGTGCATTTATCACTACTTGGACAACATTCTGCTTCTGCATCAGAACCTAGATTTGTTACTGACACATTGTGAGATAGTGATTATGACTCTAAAAGTTTGGTTGGATCATCAATCAAGACAAAAGTCAACTCACTCCAGCTCAGGAGCTGGTGTACTTGGGGGCCAGGATAAACACAGTACAGAACACTGTGGCACTCCCGAGAAGATACCAGTCATCCAACAAAGTGTCAGCAGGCCCGATGGCAAAATTCATTTTAGCCACGCAATGCTTGCAGATCATAGGTACTTTGGTATCCACAGTGCCCATGGTCAGGTGGGCCCAATGGAAGCCATGTCCGTTTCAGATAGGATTCTTGGATCAATGGCGGACGGAAGGCTTGAATCGATCAATTTGGATCACGTTACCAATGAGAGAAAGTATCAGATGGTGGCTGGGGGACCAATATCTCCTACGTTGCCATTCTCTCCTTCCAGTATCCTGGATTGTGGTGATGATGGATGCGAGCAAATTTGGATGGGGAGCCAATTGTTCTGGTCAAATAGCTCAGGATCAGTGGACCTTTCGAATGAAGGGAGTCATCTCCAATGTCCGGGAACTGCGAGCAGCATTTCAAGCGTTATTGGCGTTCCGGTCTCTATTGCAGGACAAAACAGTACTCCTGAGGATGGACAATGCTATGTTGGTAGCATATATCAGGAAGCAGGGGGGAACTCGCCGCAGCAGTGACATTCTGGGGTCCCTCAATACCAAAGGAGATTATTTGTCAAGAGCGCAGTTGGACAACAATGAGTGGTTCTCTTCACCTCAGATCTTTCAAGAGTTGATAAGCCAGACATTTCACCCAGAGGTGGATCTCTTGGCGGCCTCAGAGAATGCCAAACTAATGAAGTTCTTCTCAAGGTTTCCCTGCTCTCAAGCGATGGCATGTGATGCCTTGACAGCGGATTGGGACATTCAGACAGCATACGCCTTCCCTCCAATTCCTCTCATTCTGAGTTTTCTCAGGGGTCTACGCACAGAGAGTCACAGTTCTGGCCCTGTTACCCAATTGGCCCAAGAGACCGTGGTTCCCTCTACTTAGTCAGTTAGCTGTGGACGGTATGTGGACGCTGCTGGTACAGAATTGTTGTCTCTGGGTCCAGTCCTGAATCCTGCCCCAGAGATACTGCATCTCATGGCTTAGATATTGAGAGGCAGAGACTATTAGGTCTGGGCTGTTCAGAACAACAGCTTGCTGAGAGCTAGAAAAAGTAGTACCAATCAAACTTACAAAAGGGTTTGGCAATATTTCAGAATTTTGCCCCATTATTGCCCCAAGCAATTCAAGTGTTGGATTTTCTCCAGAAAGGTCTAGATATGGAATTGAGCATTAGTACCCTTAAAGGTCAAGTGTTGGCTATATCAGCCTTCACGGGTATTCAGTTCAGCGCAGACCCGCTGATGATTCAATTCTTAAAGGCGGTTAAAAGTTTGAAACCCCAAGGAAAATACTCTTCGCCAAGTGGGATCTGCCTATGGTACTAGAATTCCTAACTTCGGAAGCGTTTGAAAGCAAGATTTCTCTTTGGCGTCTGACCTTAAAGACAGCCTTCTTGGTAGCAGTTACATCTGCCATTAGAGTCTCAGAATTGGCAGCGTTGGGGTTTAAAGAACCCTTTTCAATGTTCTTTGCAGATAGAGTATTCCTTGTTCCAGTGGTTGGGTTTCTGCCAAAAGTTACTACTGATCTACATCTATCTTTTGCATCTTGCATCTTTTACATCTGAAACAAGAGATAGTTCTGCCTACTTTCAGGTCTGAGGATGGCCAATAGGTCAGTCAGCTGGATGTTGATAATACGCTAAAAGCATATGTTGACGCTACTGCCAATCTCAGACGAGCGGACAGTCTCTTTGTCGCTCCTTCTGGGAAAAGAAAAGGGTTCAAAGCATCAAGCAGGCTAATAGCCTCCTGGATAGTCAATCATATATCGCTAGCCTACAAATCAAAATGACTGGCTATTCTGGAAGGGGTGTCGGCCCATTCCATGGGAAGTGTCTCTACATCTTGGGCAGCTGCCAATAGAGTATAGTTGGAAATGATCTGCAAGGCGGCTACATGGTCTTCTGTTCACACTTTTGTGTCTCACCATTGTGTAGAACCTGCAGCCTTCACCACTGTAGAGTTTGGTAGGAGAGTTATCACCTCCGCCTCTGGGGGTGTATAAAAGTATTAATTGAGTATTCCCTCACTGGTTGTGTGCTAGTTATTTCCCATTAGTGTGCTGACATGGAGCTGACAGGAAAACTGGAAAATTGTATTTCACACTTGCAGGCAGTTTTCCTTTCCTGTCTAGCTCCATAAGAGAACAATACCCGTCCATTAGAAGTTATCTAGTTATGGAACGGTGGGCTCAGGGGTTCTGTTTAATTCATAAGTTATGGTCCTGATTAGTAGCAGGAGAGATTGGCATTAACCCATTAGCATGTTGCCATGGAGCTAGACAGGAAAGGAAAATTGCCAGTAAGTATAAAATATAATTTTCCAGTCATTGTGCTATTGGTTGCTTTGATCCTGTCAGACAACAGGATGCTGCTATGTGCAACCTTTTGGGGAAACCATCCCCATTGATTTCCATACTGAGAATGATGTGGTATTCATCAGTTCAGTGATTCATTTCCATGTGATTGTCAGTTAAACCAGACAGACAATTTGAAAAAAAAACAGGTGAATGCAGTTATTTTTTATTTTAAAAAAATCAATAGATGTATTTTAACTGCAACTTGTATTAAAAAACTTGAATTTGACTTGATGACAGTCCCTTCTATAGCAGTACTCAGAGCCAATCAGGTGTGATGCATTATTTGTGTGCCAGAAATGCTGACAGGAAGAGAGAGCAGAGAGATGACCTCATCAGTCTGTCGCTGCTCCTTCATTGTCCTGTCATAGGGAGTAGAAACAAGGGGGGAGGAATGACCTAGCTATGCTGCTTAACCTGCAGCAAAGAAAAGTCAGGTCACTAGACTGGCTCTGTTGTGCGGCACATATGTGTAAATCATAGGACTGCACAGACAGAAATACAACAATCTTTTGCATGTAATCAGCTTCCATATATGTATTTGTATTTATTTATTTTTTATTTTTTTATTAGAGTTCAGCTTTTCATAAACTTTAAGAAATACTTGAATGCTTATCCATTCAATCTAGGTGCCAGGATTAGATTTTACCAAGCCAGTGAATGCGTAGTTCCTGAATATTATCTAGCCTTAGGTCAAGGAAAAATGTAAATAATATATTTATTACACCTCTGGAATACATGTGCATTTCCCTATATTTTATCCCTTTGAACATGCTGCAAGTACAAATTAGCTGATGTGCCAGAATATGGATTGCTCCCCCCTTCCTCTTTGACATGACAACCCTCCTCCAGAATTGCTAAGCACATGGTATCAGCCCTGCCTACTTCAATTTTGATGGATTGCAAAGAACACAGACCTCTCCTTATCTCCTCCTCATCTCCATAACCCTTCCTTGTGTACAGGAAAAGAGCAAAGGAAGTTATCAGCTCACAAGATTTCTGGCAAAATCAGCAGATTTATTTTGCACTTATTTTGCACTTATTCTCGTCTTGACTATTGCAACTCCCTCCTCATTGGCCTTCCACTACACAGGATATCCCCCCTTCAGTCTATCATGAATGCAGCTGCCAGACTCATTCACCGTACCAACCGCACAGTGTCTGCATCCCCCCTCTGCCAATCCCTCCACTGGCTTCCACTCGCCCAGAGGATAAAATTCAAAATATTAACAGTCACCTATAAAGCCATCCACAACTCCGCCCCCGGATATATCTCAGACCTTGTCTCAAAGTATCACCCTAACCGTCCCCTCCGCTCATCCATTGACCTCCTGCTTTCCAGCTCCCTTGTCCACTCCTCCCATACTCGCCTCCAGGACTTCTCTAGAGTCTCTCCCATCCTCTGGAACTCTTTACCCCAACCTGTCCGTCTATCTCCCACCTTGACTGCCTTTAGGCGTTCCCTAAAGACTCATCTCTTCAGGGAAGCCTATCCCACCGCAACCTAACCACTGAACCTTCACATTCTCACATAATTCATTCCCACAGCTACCTCATGTATCATTTCCCCCTCCTCTTTTAGATTGTAAGCCCTCAGGGGCAGGGCCCTCCTTACCATCTTGTCTTGAATTGTATTGTAACTGTTATGTCTTCCTTATATTGTAAAGCGCTGCGCAAACTGTTGGCGCTATATAAATACTATGTAATAATAATAATAATATTAAACAGATATAACAAAACACTTTCAATTGTGTATTCAGCAGACCAAAAGGGAGCAAATAAGAAAAGTGAATTGTTAGGGTTTGCATATACTTTAACTACATAAAGGTTTTGTATGTTAATCCCTGTACATTTATAAAGACTTGCTGATTTTAAAGGGCGTTGCAAACTAAGCAATATCTACTACCACTTGCCAACCAAAAGGCAGTGGAAAGCCTACATGAATATTACTTTGCCTATCCAAGACAAAGTGATGGGTTCCCTTGAGAGGCCATACCCACTTCCACTGATATTTGCCTTTGTCACGCACCTCCGCCACAAATCCTGCCTCCTGAAGTCAATGAGCATGCCTGGTTGCGGGTATGAATGAGGGAGCATGTGACTTTCTCACCTTCCTCCCACAATGCAGTAATCAGTGTGTAAGCGTCCATTCGCCAGTCCCATCATATGGGGGTGGGAATAAAGGCCATTAGCCATGTGTAAGCTCCAGTACAGACAGACATAAAGTATACTCAGGGCTCTCTTAGTCATAGCTCCTGCAGGTAAACAGGGTAACAGGGGAGTCTGAGTAAAATAATTATCAGTAGGAAGAGTAGTGGGCTATTAAAGAACCCAAAGGCAAAATGACAGGTTCATTGAAAAAAAACAACCTGTACTTAGCGTCATTTATATCTATGATAACTTGATTCAATAACTTGAGTCACTAACTCAGAATAAGGACGTCTGACTTTGCTCTGACTTTCCCAATATGCAAACTTGTTTTGGTAAGGACCCTCCTTACCATCTTGTCTTGAATTGTACTGTAATTGTAATGTCTTTCTTATTTTGTAAAGCGCTGCACAAACTTTTGGCGCTATATAAATCCTGTATAATAATAATAATAATAATAATAATAATATCAAGTAATTATTTGACAACATACATTTTCTGTTGAGTCCACTCACTTACCGATAAATTCAAAGGCTTCTTCAAAGTATTGACGAAGGTCCTGCTTGCTGTTATCAGTGGCTGGTAGTCTCTTGTACCTCAAGGCCCCAGACTCAGCATGGTACAAAGGCAGATGAGTTGTGATGTTCAACACATGCCCTATATTTAGGGTAATCATGCAGGCTAGGTCTTGGGCATCCTTTTCATTCCCCAGGAACAGAAAAGGCAAGATGAGGCTCAGCTCAGCTTTCTCAAGGTCAGGAGACAGTGGCACAGGAGGGGACACCTCCACTGGCAGAACACAGTCATCAGTTGGGGCATCATTCAAAGCTAGAACAAAAAAACCTCAGTGTTAGACATATATTGTAAATTGAACACAATGTTCACAATGTGATAAGACATCTACATGCAAAGATACTAATGTAACTAAAAGACACTTATGAAACAGTGTGAGCTAAGAATTGTATCTCACTCACACTAAGCTTCCTGAGTTGTATTCTAGAAATTAATATAAATAATATTCCCTCCAACCTGAAACAGCTGATACATATATAAATATTTCCTCCAGATGACCATGAAAATCCATAAAATCCTAAAATATGTTTCTTATAGTGCAACTGAAGCCAAAACTGGAGATGAATTTAGAACAACTGTCAGGTTTTTATTGCTATCGGTGTCCCCATTAGGGACATTCATCCTCTAATTGTACCGGTGACTTTCACTAAACGTGAAAGTGATAGAAAATCCCACATTTTTGGTTGTCATCAGAACAGGACTAGATGGGAAATCTTCCAATGGGAACACTAGGTCTATTGACCCTGCTGAATACCAGGGTTTTCCCTCCCTTTAGAGGGATTTGCTCTCTCACTTCCTGTTATGGCTATCGGGCAGGAAATGTATAGAGAGATCTCCCCAATGGGACACAGATGGCAATAAAGCTGACAGGGGTTATAACAGGGGTTATAACTCTCCCTACTAAAAAGTTTTGGCTTCTGTTCTACTTTAAGCTGTTGAGATTCTTTACACTTGTTTTTAATATATGATGCATCCTACCAACCAGAGCAGGAGTTTCCTGTGTTGCAATTTAGGTGCCAAAATGGATTGGTGCAGGACTTGGTATGAAACGGCATTATGAGCATTAAGCCAAGAATTCAGCTTATTGTTAAGTATCATTTAATAGTTCCAATTATCATTTAATTTTTGTGGTTAACGGCAATCTATACCGAGAGAAGTATGTAGGCTGAAAATTCTAGATTCCTCTGACTTAAAGAACATGGTTCCTCTGATTTAAAGCTTATCTCTGAGTAAAAAATAAAAAGCTACATTTGCAGTGGGGCTACACTGCAAGAGTTAACTGCTCGTTTTTGCCTAGGACTATGGTGAAGGGTAAGGGCGATGCCCACTCCTTTGGCAGTCCGCACCCACCTCATCCCACTCACACTCTTGCTCGTGGACTGTTTCTTGGTGACCTCACATATAATTCAGGGCTATGGGTCCTGCATTAGATGTGATGACATCAGCAGGTGTCCAATTGACAGAGCAAAGGGGAGAAGAGGCGCCGGTCATTGAGGCCATGGAAGGGAGCAGGGGTCGGATTGGTAAAAATGCTGTACTTGGCTCCCCTAGAGAAAAATTAGCAGTTGACCCTTCAAGGGTAGTTTTTTTGTAACTAGCGATCCACATGCAGCAAGAGAAAACAGAGTCAGAATGCAGAAATCCTAATTTTCATACTAGTAGATGTCCGTGACTTACCAAGTATTGAAACCCTTAAATCAGCAGGACAGTCAGTCAACTAGCATTCCCAGAAGAAGAGGTCAGCAAATAGCAGCCCCCATATTTCTCTCAGCACAGGTTTCCTTTAAAGTGATATTAAACCCTCAGATTTTTTAACATAAAACAATACTGTAATGTGTGCCTTACTGTAATCCATGGTTGTTTCCTTTCTCTTTGCTGCTCTTCCTTTTAAATCTGTATATCTTCTCATGCTGGGCAGAACTTCTGTTTTGCAGCAGACTGCCTTGTTTCTGGAATGGATACATGGTGTCTGTGTGTAGGTTTGCAACCTGAGTCAGCATTAAGGGAAGAGGCCCTCAGCTGCAAAGGGAATTTCTCCCCCAGCATGAGAAGACATGAGGATTTAAGGAGGTGTGGGTAAATCTTCCAATTGGAAACACTTGATAAGGTGACAATTGTCAGTGGTAATAATAACCATTTCCTATTCTATTAAACACAAAACAATTGACTTTATATAGTATAGGATTAGGGGGTTAACATTGGTGGAGGAATAGGATTGAGTGTTGGAAAATGTTTGATAATGTTTACATTTAATTTAATTTAAGTTAATTTGAAGGATTAGGGTTAGTCAAGTAACAATTTTGTTCGTTTACGGGTTTAGTTTTAGAATTTGAGGGAGTTATAGATTTAAGTGTAAGTGCAAGACATAGGTGATTATAGCAAAAATTCACGTTTGATCTTTCAACCGAAAATACTCTGTATCCAAATGTATGTCAAGTATGAATGTGCCAAGTATGAATGTGTCAAGTCCAAAGCAACAAAAACTTCCAAACGTGTGCTGCAGTTACATTTTAGACGCATGGTTATGTATTTAGCTATAACGTCTATACTATATGTACAATTGGCTTTACAAAAGTGCTTCTCACGCCGACACATTTACAACAGGAAAAATGCTAGTATAATGGGAATCTGTCTGACCTCACTCCTCAGGGACACATTCATTTTCTTTGTAAGTGTCGTCATAAAGATCATTCACAAATAGCTGCATATTTGAGTTTGTGTGTCATAGAGGAAACATGTTTATCTTATAAATCATGCCATCACGTGCATATCTGCTTCTTTTCCTGTTTATAGGTTTGTTTTTGATTGCTTGTTTAATTGGTATTATTAAAGTGCAGTTCAGTGCCACCCTTTATTGCATCTAGAACTATCTAATGTAATCACATTCACTGTATATATGTTGTCATCTCTATATGTATGTTACAGCTGTCTCCATGTGCTACATGTGTTACGGCATGTAAACATGCTTTTTGTTGTTCCGGGCAGCCAGGTGTCTTTCACCTGTTCTGCCGTACGCTAATGTTGCATTATATGGTGGATCAGTTTATATTTCAGGGAATAAAAAAAGTCTTTAATGCTCCTTCACTCTTGATTATGTATTCAGGGAATGTTTACTCAAGAACTTTGAATAAATCTGAACTATGGTATGTTCATGGTACCTAGTAGTTGTACTGGTTTTATATTGACACTAATTTGTGTGTATTTCATCAAAAGTACAATTTTATCAATGTAGAAGGCCCTTTTCATTTATAGAACAATCATTCATACAAAACTGTTTAGCCAATAAATTGGCCATTTGTCTGATTGGCACAGTCTTATTTCAATGGGTGGTCTTACATAGGTTTCTACTTCTTTGTCCCCGTCTCTCCATTTGTGTATTTTGTCGGCTTTATTTTGTATTTATGTAATAACTGTTCTAAAGTGAATAGATTAAAACTGGAACAACACAAGGGTCTTGGCCAGACATGATAGTCAAGTGTTTTGCAAATGTTGTCCTTAGCATCCACTAACATGCCATGCTTTCCAGGATTCCATGTTTGGGAAACATTCTAGTCTTTAAAGTGACACTTAACTCAGGAGTTAAATCTTCAAAATACATTCAAGTTACCAAACTATTATAAAAAATTTATTTTATTTGTATGTTAACATGCTTTTTGTAGATCATCTCTGAATTCATGCTGAATCTGACACTGTCCTTCCTTCTGGAGGCTGTCTACTTTTGTTCCCCATTGTCCTTGTGTGTGTGTTGTAAAGTAGCCACAGCTCCGAGCTCACTCCCGGGGAGGAATACAATCTCAATACAAATTATTAAACTAAACATGAAATTGTAGTCCATCAGGAGAGTGAGCTTGGAGCGGCGTTTTACTTTACAACACACACAGAGACCATGGGGAACAAAAGTAGCCACCCTCCAGAAGAAAGGACAGTGTCAGCACCAATTCAGAGATGATTTGATGGTCTACAGCTGAGTGATGCACAAATAAGATACATTTTTGTTAATAGTTAAAGTGACATTAAAGGCAAAAAATTTTTTCCCTCACCCCAATGTAAATGTTAGCACTTACCTTAAATGATGTCTCTTTTTCCGATCTTCCTCTTCTTTCCCTATGTTTTCATCTGTCCCTCCAGCGGTGTGACGTCACTCCGATCCAGCGCTGACTGCTCTGTCTCTCCGATCCAGCGGTGTCTGCAGGCGGGTGCACGCGTCCATAGACTTACCTTGTGTCTCTCCTTGTCTCCCGGCCGAGAATCGGAACTGCGCATGCGCCCGCCCCAAGATCCTTTGCGGCCGTATGAGCAGTTCCTGATTCTCGGCGCGGGAACGAGCGGCGATAACTAGGTAAGTTTAAAAGGATTTTAAGCGTTTTTTTATTTATTTTTGTACACTTCTTGCCTATATCTACTGCATGCTAGCAGTAGATATAGGCAAAAAAACCAGAGGGTTTAGAACCCCTTTAAGGTACTTGAATGTATTTTTAGGATCTAACTCCTGAGTTTAGTGTTACTTTAAGACACAAGCTGTCTTTGAATGCTTGCTACTTTATTCGACCTAGTTAGCCACATAAAAGGTATAATTTGTCTCTTTTGCCAACAAATTTTGATGGATAACATTGGAAACCACGTCATTCTTGGAGACCACATCTGTTATTAAACTGTTATAGCTCTTGTTATCTATGACTGTTACAAGGATGACTAAAATTGGTCAGTGAACCATATATGATAAAAGGAAAAATCAAATGTCAGGAAATATATTATTTGCCACACAGTATATTTTCTTTAAAATCATTTTCTTTCTTTTTATTTTTCAACATCTTTACATTTTCTTTTCTTTCACTCACCTCTGCCTGTTCCTCCTGAACTCTCTGTTAATGGCTCAAGTAGAAGGTACAGACTCTGAATCCTCCTGTTTGTCCCCTCAACTGGAGACAAAGGTGGTGGTGTTGATGGTGGAGGAGGAGAATGGGGACGTGCTGGTTCATCTACCTCAAACCCTTCTAAACCTCTTGGGTCCAGTAGCAAGGGTGAACCCGCAAGCATTCCCCCCCTTGTCCGTGACATAATTTTCCGAGCCAGCTCATCTGGCCAAATAGCACGTACGCTGTAATCATCATCCTCATCATAGCTCACCCTTGAGCTCCCTATAAATTGTGGATCAAAAGTTACAATAGGGTCACAGCTGCAGGATGAACCCACAGATTTTCTTGGAGGACGAAGTAGGCGCCAACAGCCTTTGCAGCCACATTTTAGAGGGTGAAGCGCCCAACGGAAGCATGAAGGTGACCGTGTGGATGGCGATGGAGGAGAACCCCTCCGACGAGAACAGGGTTCCCGTGGCCAGCGGGGGGGTTGGAGCTGTGAAAGTTGTCCAGGCAAAGTGAGGTCAGCATGTGATGGTGCTCTGTGGCCAGGTTGCAGGCCTCTGACTTCAGGAGCCATACATGAATGAGGTGGAGCCCGCAGAGGAAGAGAGCGGGGACGAGGCAAGGGAGTGGAGCGATCTTCTAGGGGAACAGGGGGCATGATGCTGCAAGGAGAAATATGAATTATCAGTTTATAATATTGTAATTTAAGAGTCTACATTGCATTTTTTTCGGTTAAGAGTCAAGTATAATACAAATAATATGCATCATTTTAATAGTGACGTGTCAATCTCTGTTGGGTTTCCAGGCTGTTAATAGGAGATTACACTATAGCACATATTTACTGGGAATTCAAAACTTAACTTACAGAAGTAACAATACCCCAGATTTTTATTACACACACACACTGCATTACTGGCTATTTGAAATGAGCAAAGACTGTAAATTCATGTGCAATTTCTTCATTCCTTCTCTGCTTTATAGCTGATTTTTTTTTTGTGCTGCCTGTCTGCTGTTTGTGGTTCTGCAGTGGCTGCCACTTTCAAACGTGAGCTCCATCTAATACGCAGAGATCACCTTCACATACTGCAGGGATCCTACGACACTGCTGCCTTGCAAAACACAATGTACGGGCCAAATTCACCAAATACGCCATAATGCAAGAAAAAAAGAAGCCTGATATCTAAAAGTGATGTCACAAACATATTCCATTTATGAATGTAATAGCTTGTATGTTATACATACCTATTCAAAAAAATACATGCTGGGATGCAGAACGTCAACTACAACGTGTGGTTATTGAACATTGGGATAACAGTGGATACTTAGGATGTATGTAATGTTTGCATGCTTAACATTAATATTATTAAAAAATAGTGTTTGCTTGAATGATAAAAGAAAGACTAACATGCATGATAGAGAGATAGATAGATAAATAGATAGATAGATATTATTGTACTTTCTGTATTACACTTATTTGTTTCTTGTAAAAACATGCAAGAATTGTTAAAGAGATTGCACATTAGTGATTACATATAATTCCACACAATTGTACCTTTGTCAGCTGTTCCCCTCCTCAGTTAATATGGATTCCTTAATAGTTGGCCTCATTTGTGCATGACTGACTCCTCAGTGTCAGTGCTTGTGCATGTCCTTTGTGTTGGAGCCTGTTGGCGTGTGTGTGTGTATATGTGTGTCTAGTGTGTGCAGAGGGTGACACTGAATGACGACTGCAAGCACCCTCCCTTCCTTACAGGATGACATCACCGCCAGCCAATCAAAAATCGCCCACATTATCCAAACAGACAAACCAGCCCAAGCTAATTACTACCTTACACATTGTGCTGATTACAAGATAATAGTATGTCTGACAAAGAGGAGATGAATACTGTTGAGGCAGACTGACAGAACAAACAGAGATTTGGGAAGTTACAAAGAAAAAGATTTTTGATTGTGTGTGTAATTATTTGATGCATTCATGCGCGGCTAAGTGTTTAAATTATGACTCTGATTTCTATTATTTTTTTTAACTTTCAGTTTAAAAGAAAAAAAAAAATTGGTATAATTAGGGATACTGTATGTGTTGTATGTACAAGTGCTTATTTCGATGAATGAAAGGAAATAGAAATGTGCAGTGCGGATGGCTCGCCGTTTGCTGATTTCAGCAGATTTCATCTTTCTGAAGGGGACACTTCTGATAAATGAAGCATCTTCTACACATGAATGAGTCCGCACACTGTAATAAAACACAGAGTTGTCATGAAAGCACAATGCAGCCGCACAGATGCAGGGCATACTAAGGAGATGGTCTCATGTGATTCTTATTAAATCGTATTATATGACAATGTAGATAAGAGAGATTTTCTTCTTCCAATATTTCCTATACACGCAATCATTTCAGAAAACATTATATAATTGTAAGAAAGGTTATTTAAAAACATGGAAATCATCTTTCTTTGCATACAGTCAGATATTTTTGTGCCCATCGCAGGGATGGAAGATTGTGCACGGGTTATTGTTACTGCTTTTCCTCTGTACTGTACTTTTAAAATGGGGGGAAATCACACAAAAAAATAAAATAACAAAATACAAGATAAAATTAATGGGGAAAAAAAATACACAAGATAAAATTCGATTGTAAGCTTCTCGAGGGCAGAGACTGATGTGCATGTGAAGCGTTGCGCAAAATAGTCGGCGCTATACAGTATAAATACCTGTAATAAAAATAAATAAATAAATGGGGGTAATTTTTCAGAAATGGAGCAGACAGAATGTGGAGCAGTTAGCCATAGTAACCAATCAGCTTCTCTTTTCAGTGTGCTCAAAATTTTAAAATGAAAGACAAAAGTGGATTGGTTGCCATGGACAAGTGCTCCAGGTTCTATCTGCTTCAATTTGAATAAATCCTCTCCATGTGTTGTGGGGTGCTAGGTGCGTTGTGTTGCCGTTCATTTCAATGGCACCCCATTGCACCTCTCGGTCACAGCGCAGCTCAATACCGTGTATTGCAGTGTGATGAAAAAAGTAACGCATGTATTTCTTTTTTTTCCATCTTGCTGTAAAACACAGTGAAGGGAATTTATCAAACTGGAGCAAACAGAATCTGGAGCAGTTGTCCATGGCAACCAATCAGCTTCTCTCCTCAGTTTTTCAGTTAGGATTTAAAAATTTAAGAGAGCTGCTGATTGGTTACCATGCACAGCTGCCCCAGATTTTGTCTGCCCCAGTTTTGATGAATTCCCCTCAGTGGAATATCAAAACTGGAGCAGACATAATTTGTAGCAGCTGTGCATGGTAACCAATCAGCAGCTCTCTTCAGTTTATTCAGTTAAGCTTTGAAAAAGTAAAGAAATAAGCATATTGGTTGCCAACTGTTTTACATACTGTCTGCTCCAGTTTTCATAAATTCCCCTCAATGTGCTGCAATGCACGGCAGCTGAGAGGTGTGTTGGGGAGCACGATAACGGGCGCTAGGTGCGCTGTGCAATAGCGCGCATTCAAGCAGAACGCCAGGGAAAATTATTATTAACCCTTGTAGTGGGGCTACCCCTGCAATGCAAGGGTTAACTGCTTGTTTTGGTCTAGGGAGGAAAAAATTAAGTTATACTCACCCGGTCTAAAGGTGCCCATACACTGTGCGATTATCTCACGATAATCGTGGGAAATCCCACGATTTTTTTATTACTTTACAACCATCGCAAGACTAAGGTCTTGCGATGGTTGTAAAGTGTATGGCCACCTTAAGAGCCGGCTCAGGGGATCGGGTGAGCTTAACTTTTTTTCCTCCCTAGACCAAAACAAGCAGTTAACCCTTGCAGTGCAGGGGTAGCCCCACTGCAAGGGTTAATACTAATTTTCCCGGAGTTCCTCTTTAATAGCACAGTAGTGTGTGTTCTGTGCACAGTATCGTGTGATTGACACAATGCTATGGTGTGACTGGGCCCTAAAACTCAACCTCTTAGCATGCTGGGCCAGTGTGAATAAGTCCTAAAACCAAACAACTATATTTCCAGGTAAAATGCCTTCATATAATTGGTATTATTTAAGAATTTGTGACTTCATTTAGGAATTCTTGTGATCCAGTCATTCCTGCCAGACCTTAAAGACAACCACTGCAATGAAATAAGACGACTTGGTCACCGATGCTTCGACTACTGGACAATGATGGAGCAGCAGAACGTCACTCTGCTTTCTCCACCTGGCAGAAAGCTTCCTGTGTTAGATTGACAACACTGTACAATGCAGTAGTGTTGCCTAATAGGCTCCCAGTGCCGGTCCTCATTCTGAGTATTGCTGTCTGTTGTGTTACAGGAAGGTAATATCTTTATATGGTGGTCTTTTACACATGCCTAGAATTCAGCTTTGAATTTTTTTTTTTTCACTTTCAGCCCGCATGCTGAATGAAAAAAAATCCCATTTAGCGTGGATGGAAGAATCTTCCGCTGCTGGCTATTGTATTCAAGCAGCTGTGGGACGGCTGCGGCTGATTGGCTGCAGTTACTGATCACCTGACAATTTTCTGCCCAGCTCCTTTGTTTCTTGGGGTTGGCAGGGCCACTATGGCTCGCATTTCATTCCATACACAGGAATCAGCTGAAAGTTACCACCATATGGCAAGCTTAACATAAGAGACAACGGAGCAAAAGGTGGTAGGACATTTCACACAAGAGGTCTTATAATCACTTGAGTAATCTGGCTTTTGCACTTCAGCCGCAAGGCCTGCCAGAGTTGTGCACTGAGATAATTAAGGTTATTCACTTTACCTCTCAGTGGTCATAATGTTATGGCTGATCGGTGTACATGAGATACTGCACTTATTCCCTTGCATCAAAAATGAACAAGAATTTTGCATTCTGTAAGTGCTGGTGATTCCTTCCATCCATATCCTAAATACATCCAAAACATTTTATTTCTCCAAGAGGAGTGATGCCGGAGTCTTGCTGGAGGGTACATCCAAGAGGAGTGATGCTGGAGCCTTCATCCAGGAGGAGTGATGCTGGAGCCTTGCTAGAGAGTACATCCAGGATGGGTGATGCTGGAGCCTTGCTGGAGAGTACATCCAAGAGGAGTGATGCTGAAGCCTTGCTGGAGAGTTCATCCAGGAGGAGTGATGCTGAAGCCTTGCTGGAGAGTACATCCAGGAGGAGTGATGCTGAAGCCTTGCTGGAGAGTAGATTCAGGAGGGGGGATGCTGGAGCCTTGCTAGAGAGTACAGTACATCCAAGAAGAGTGATGCTGAAGCCTTGCTGGAGAGTACATCCAGGATGGGTGATGCTGGAGCCTTGCTGGAGAGTACATCCAAGAGGAGTGATGCTGAAGCCTTGCTGGAGGGTACATCTAGGAGGAGTGATGCTGGAGCCTTCTTGAAGCACCAAAGGGGCTTCACCTGGATGGGTAGGAACTGCTTCCAGTGGACATTGCAGGAAGTCTGGTTGCTCTTGTTGGTTATGCGTCTAGATGAAGCACTGAGATCTTGAGGAATGCTGAATTAAGTTTTACTTGCTTAGCAGGACATTACATGTATGTATACAGGAATACATCATTATCAGGAAACATATATGGAGAGTTTCCTGTACATATCATAGACATGAGCATGCACATAGAAAACTAGCATAGACTAACATTGCACTACAGCGCCATCAACTGGTCAAAATACATATTTACATATCAATAATACAATCAGTAAATATCAGAATATGCTGGTGTATTTCCAACACCCCTTCTCAACAGCATATGCGTTGCTATATGATGTATAGCTTCTCTCAAAGGAAACCGTGACAATCCTTTGGCAATGGCTTGGTGAATGCGTCTGCAGTCATTTCTTCTTCTGCTGCCTTTCTCCATTGATTGGCTTCACGGTTTGGTAATTTGTTTATGTCTTCCCTCAATGCTGGTTCCAGTATGCTAGGTGTTAGCAGTATATGACAGCTTGTAGGGTGGTGTTCCCTTTGTTGCTCGAGTAGATCATCTAATTTCAGGTTGTGCTGCAGAATTTAACATGGAATTTGACTTATCCATTGTGAGTTCCACCTCTTGTTCTGACTCCGGTGCTGCTTCACTGTGCTTAGATTCCTTGGCTGGTTCACTGGGCGTATTCACTTCACAACTCCCTGGGATCATTGTTTCTGGTGATAAGTGTTCTCATTGAAATAAACGCTGCAACTTATTGTCACTTTGTCAGTCTTTGGGTGGAGGATTCTATATCCCTTACTTTGTTCACTATACTCCTTCAGAATACTTTCTTTGGCTTAAATGTTCTCCAACTTGGATTGCTTCTCGTTGGGAATATATGCGCAAGTTTTACATCCAAACACTCTGCTGTGCCCCAGGCTAGGCTTCGATCCATGCCACATTTCAAATAGGGTGCTTTCAACTGTTTTTGAAGGTAGTCTGTTCTGCAAGTATGTTGCAGTCATGACTTCTTCTCCCCAGTATTTCTTAAAGTGACATTAAACCCTCAGATTTTTTAACATAAACCAATACTGTAATGTGTACCTTACTGTAATCCATGGTTGTTTCCCTTCTCTTTGCTGCTCTTCCTTTTAAATCCTCATGTCTTCTCATGCTTGGGGAGAACTTCCCTTTGCAGCTGGTTGCCTCTTCCTGTAGTGCTGCCTCAGGTTTCAAACCAACACACAGACACCATGTATCCCTTTCAGAGACAAGGCAGTCTGCTGCAAAATAGAAGTTCTGCCCAGCATGAGAAGAGATACAGTTTTAAAAGGAAGAGCAGCAAAGAGAAGGGAAACAACCATGGATTACAGTAAGGCGCACATTACAGTATTGTTTTATGTTAAAAAATCTGAGGGTTTAATGTCACTTTAAGTAGGTTGGCATCTGACAGCATGCATCGGGCCATTTCTGTAAGAGTGCGATTCTTCCGTTCTGCTGCATCATTTTGTTCAGGAGTGTATGGTGTGGTTGTCTGGTGTACTATACCTTGTTTCTTTACATATGATTCCTCTTCCTTACTGATGTATTCCCCTCCGTTGTCAGTGCATATGTCTGGATTCCATTGGAATTTGTTGCTGGACATAGCTACAAACTCTGATGTTTCATTCTTGTGCTTCATCAGATAAGGTGTGTATCTGGAATAATCGTCAATGAAACCAATGAAAACGAGTAGATATCTTTTCCCGCCTGATGTGGAAGTTTGCATTGGTCCGCACATGTCGCTGTCTATGAGCTCCATGGGGTAGGTGGTCTTTCTTTGAGTGGTCTGTGGAAGTGGAATACGTGTGGCCTTTGCTTCCATGCAGCATTTGCATGTCATGAGCATTTGGCAGGGCAGTATTGTTATATCTTCTGATAAGCCTCTTTATAATGTCTTTTATGTATTCTGGGTTTCGGTGCCCTAGTTATCTGTGCCATAGATGTATATATTTGTTGTGTGGATTATGAGTGGCTGTTTTGACTTGTTCGTCTGCAGTGATGAGTCTGTACAGTTGTTCATCTAGTTTTCCTTTTGCAAGGATTTGCCTATTGTTTCGGATTGTACATTCATCACCTCGGAATTGAACTGTGAGGCCATTATTAGCAAGAGTTTTAACTGATATAAGGCTTCCTTCTAGGTCTGAGTCAATACACCATCCACGTTGTATACTGTTCTGAGTCACTTCAAAGGTGACGGTAAAGGATATGCCTGTAGTTTTCTTTGTGACTGCTTTAGCTCTTTCTCTTGTAGGTACCTCTCGCTTTCTCTGCTTGGTTTTCCAGATAGAACAGTTCGTTTTCAGGTGATCTGTCTTTTTACAGCAAAAACACGCTCTGATTTCTTTGTTTTGCTTTGCGCTTTCATGCACCTTAAAGGCTTTCACATTTTCTTAATTGTGCAAATTTTCTTTCCTGTTGTCATATTCATCGATTAATTTTCCTCTTGTGCATTCTAGTGTTAGTTCCTGCTCAGGTCTGGTTTCTAGAGAGTTAATAAGAGCACAGTATGACTCTGGAAGGCTGCATAGCAGTAATGCCACTACATGGTTATCTTTCATTTCCTCTCCAATTGCACGCAGTTGTTCTATGATTTCCAGCATGGCATTCACATGATCACACATTTACTGGCCTTTTTCTAGCCTCATCTTATATAGCTTGTGTAGCAGATATAGTTTAGTGTTTAGCTTTGAATGCTCATGCAGTCTTTGTAATGCAGTTCACTTACCTTTAGCTGTATTTTCATCTCCTATTTGGATGAGCTGGTCATCTTCCATTAGCACACTTATAATTGCTTCTGCTTGCCTGTTCTTGTCCCATTCCTCTGTGGGTCCATTGCTGGGTCTGTCTGTATTCAGTACTTGTCGTCTTTGCTTAGCAGCATTAAGCTTGAACTTCCATAGCCGATAGTTGCTATTGTTGAGCTTTGCGATTGCAAACTTTATTTCTGAACTACTTACCATCTTTCAGTAGCTTGGATGCGGCTCTTGTTGACTTGCAGTATTCTGTTTAGTTCAGACAAAAAAGTTTTCTTTTACTCTTGGCGCTAATGGCTGCCAGCTGAACGATCCACTTGCTGTTGCATACTCAAAGTTTTCAACAGTTAATCACAGTTTTTCACACAGACTTGAGGGGCTGCTCATCCAAGGCTCTGGGGCTCTCACCATGAACATAGAAAACAAAAGGGAACAGAGCGCCATCACCGTATGTTAAATCGTTTATTAGGATGAATAAAACAAGGGATAAATGTACTCACAAGGAAACGTTTTCATCAGGCTTTAGCAACAAACAAGAGGTCCCACTGTCTGTTAACCCACATGGTATCACCCCGACTATGCAACACGGTAGCCTCCGGTCACATCACCATACACCGGCCGCAGTCAGCCAAGATTGACGCGTTTCAGGGGCAAGGCCCCTTAATCAGAATCATAGCTTGCTTTCCCTGAGAGTGGGGTATAAGAATGGAAACCGACCAATCAGATAAAAACCCTCCATTATGACTAGTCTAAAGTTGCCCATACACTGTGCGATTATCGCAGGATAATTGTGGGAAATCTCTCGATCGTACGATAATCGCAAGGTATATGGAAGCCGTGCGACCGTTTATACTGTACGGTCACACGTCTTTTGTCTAAGGAGCATGTTCGAAAACCAGCCAAAAATCGTACGATTTTCGGCTGGTTTGTGGCATGCTCGGGAGACAAATGCCGAACGGGCCGGTGTGCGACCGCGCACACTGCCCGTTCAGCATTGCGGTCACCAGAAGCCCGCCCCTCAGGAGGGAGGGCTTGCGATGATCGCAAGTACGATCTGCCTGTCCGAGATGGGCAGATCGTACGTTTTTTTTATTACTTTACAACCATCGCAAGACTAAGGCCTTGCGATGGTTGTAAAGTGTATGGGCACCTTTAGAGTGATTGGCTCTACTGCAGCATTACAAGGAATTTGCTATTATACGGCCATATATGCCGCCCAATGATCACACAGCCTCTGTCTAATTAATGAATCAGGCTGACATTCAATTTACAAAAATTTACAAAAACTAGAGGCCATCACCTAAAATTGGTGGAAAAAAAATTCCAGCACAAGGGGCGAAGGGGGTTCTTCACAGTAAGATCAGTTAGGGTCTGGAACTCACTGCCACAGGCGGTGATTTCAGCAAATAATGTGGAATTGTTCAAGAAACTTTTGGACGATTTCTTAAGGGACCGTAATATACAGGGGTACAGGTAATATACAGGGGTACAGGTACTCCTAGAATGAGATCCTAATAGGTTGGACTTGATGGACTAATGTCTTTATTCAACCTCAAATACTATGTAACTATGTAATTCTAGTGGAGATTTAAAATGCATGGGGCGATCTTATATTAGAAGCTAAGCAGTACTTCAGACTTATCACTGCTTAATACTCGGCCTGGGCCCATAACCTGTTGGTTATGCGTCTAGATAAAGCACTGAGATCTTCAGGGATATTGAATTAAGTTTTACTTGCTTAGCAGGACTTTGCATGTATGTATACAGAAATACAGCATTATCAGGAAACATAAAGGGTGAACTTCCTGTATGTATATCATAGACGTATGCATGCATATAGAAAACTAGCATAGACTACCATTGAGCTACAGCGCCATCTACAAAAGACTTAATAACATCTCAGCAATACAATCAGTACATACTGTATCAGCATATGCTGGTGTATTTCCAACAGCTCTTACTATGTGTATATATATAAATGTGCTGCGCTAAATATTCTCTGGTGAGTGTTTACTCAGTTACCTTAACACATCGGGAGTCTGGAGCACTTTATTTCAGAGGATCATTGTCACATTGTGGATTTTGCACAAAAGCACTTTATACCGATTTACTAAGGACTATTATTGAATATTGTCATATTGATTATTATTATGTTTGAAAATGTATGTTTATGAAAATGTACACATTGTTTGGAAGTTTATGCACGTTTATGAGCAGTAGCGCAGTGCACACGATTTATCAAAAAGCTCTTACTATGTGCTTTCTGGTGGCGATTTAAAGTCTGAAGAGTACAGATTGCTGGTATGGGCTTCAAGGCCCTTATCTCTGTATTGAATGAAGGGAATTTATCAAAACCGGAGCAGACAAAATCTGGAGCAGTTGCCCATGGCAACAAATTAGATTCTCCCTTCAGTTTGTTGAGTTAATATTTGAAAATGAAAGAGAGAAGCTGATTGGTTGCCATGCACAGCTGCTCCAGATTTTGTCTGCTCCAGTTTTGATAAATTCCCCTCAATGTGATTAGAAGTCTGGAGTTTAATTTTTGTCACTTGTTTGGGTATCCTGTGCCCTGACCCTTTCTCATTGAGGTTATGGTCTTATAATAAACTCTTCAAAATTTCTAAAAAGACTGGCACCCAATTTCTTCCACCCCCACAAAGAGTCAAAGATTCTGCCCTGAGGTTTGAGATGCTACCCTACTGAGCCATCTTGTGTCCCTCAACCCGCCTCCAAGAGGTAAGAGGGAGCTACACATGTATTCCTCAGGATCTCCCCCAGAAGGAGTGTCACATCACCCTTCTAGGTGTCGTGGAAGAAAGACGGGGTAATGTAAGTATTAAATCTAACTTTATTTCTTTTCAGGTAACTTTTGAATCTAGTATTAAAAGGGAAATTATACAGATGAAGGGGTCCCGGACAGTACACCCATTACACCTACAAAGTAGTATTGAACTATCAAACTTTTTTTTCAATAATGAATCCAGATCTAACAAATATACAATGACCAGCAAAGTATTTCTTTACATTTTTACACAAACACTCAGTCATCATGCAACTGAACAGCTAAAACTCTTTCAGCTACACTTCCCTGAACTTTCTGTCCTGTACAAGATCGCAAGGGACAGAGCAGTTTGTGGCAGCTGTCCATGTACTAGTTCGAAGAAGGAAGGGTGGGATGGGGGGTCTCCAAAGGACCCTGAAAGGGAAAGGAGCAGTGGCGTAACAATCACCATAGCGACCCAGGCGGCCGCTATGGGGCCCGGGGTGCAGTGGGGCCCGGCCAGATGCCGTGCGGGCTGCCTGGGTCGCTATGGGATCCTCTGCTAGTGGCTTTCAATGGCGGCTGAAGACGAAGACGCAGCTGTTCAGATCACTGCCAGTAATCTGTGCAACAGCCCGTTCCTCTCCACAGAGTCAATGAGAGGCGGCAGTGGAGGAGGTGGGGCCCGTGGTCGGCAGCAGGGGAGGAGGTGGGCCCCGGTGACGAAGAAAGAAGCGGGCCCGGCGGAGGAGGCGGGGCCCATTAGCGACCGTGGACGAAGAGGAGGCGGTCAGGTAAGGAGTGCGACCAGCCCACCTGAGGGTAACCCTGCAGAGCCCACCGTAGAGACTCTATGGTGGGCTCTGCAGGTTCACCCTCAGGTGGGATATCGAGTGGGCTCTGCAAGGGGCATAACTAGAAATCACGGGGCCCCATACAAAATTTTGCTATGGGGCCCTGTGATTTCTAGTTACGCCCCTGGAAAGGAGCCACCCTTAAACAGGATATCAGGGTCAGTGCTCAGGGGACCAGCTGATTCTGCTGGAAACTAGAACTTTTAATCATTTAGCAGTGTTATTCACAAAAGGGTGAAGAGTTTGGAGAAAGCAGGCAAAGTGAACAATCTAGGACAGCAAAGCTGAATTGGAAAGTAAGCTGAACTGGAGAATTTTTCCAAATCAGCTATGTTGTCCTAGATTGTTCACTTCTCCTGCCTTCTCCAAACTCTTAATCCTGTAAGAAACAGCATCCATTGTAAGTGATTTATTCAGCATTTAACATCGCTTAAAAACATTTTGACTTTAATATCAGTGACAGCAGGCTCAGACAAAGCGTCAGCAGAAACACAAATGTAATGGGCATAAGCTGCATTTAAAAAAAATATTTTGTACCGATGTTTGTGAGTCTGCGAGACACGAAGCAGAAGGATAAGGTCTAACACTACAAGCCGGAAGCTGTGACAAACAACTTTGTCTTCCGTTCGTTAAAGGACACAGCGGATAATCAGATCTTAACTGATGGGTCATATCAGCACCTGCAGGAGTAGGCAACAAACAAAAGGCAACCCAGGGGCAGCCTGTGCTGGAGGCCACCCTCCCCCTGCAAGTTATTATTTTCTATTGTCTCTGTTTGAACCCACCTTCTGCTAATTGGTCAAGATCATATAATTGGCCATGTCTGTCAATGAACAGAAGAGAACTTACAGTAAAATCCTCTGCGCTCATTGAAGGACACGACACCCACCCATTTTGTGGTTATGCCGTGTTCTGTCTACTGCTTGCCACTAAGTAGACTTTAGCAAATAAGAGCTTCGGTCACCAGCAGGGGCCATCCCTAGGTAGGGTTGCCACCGTCCAGGATTCACCCGGACACTACGGGTTTGGAATCCTGTGCCCGGGTGGGAGCCCAGGCTCTGTGACCCCGCTGGGACACAGAGCAGCGCCCAGCGGGGAGGAAAGAAAGCAGGGATGCGCCACTGTATCCAGGGGCGTATCTGCCGCGAGGCAAACAAGGCGTTTGCCTGGAGCGGCAGATTCGCTGAAAAAAATGGCACTTTCGGCATTTAGCCAAAAGTGCAATCCAGAATGGCACAGGCTATAGAGGACTACACATCCCAGCAATCCCTCGGTATGCGATCCGGGCTGGCTGGATCAGGCAGACGCGACCCTCTAATCAGGCACTGTAGAGGGCCGCTCGCGGGGGCCTCCCGAGGACCCCATTCAGGAGCGAGCGGCCGCCCGATTACAGAGCTGCATCTGTAGCGGTGCAAGTGGCAGAGAGGCGGCGGAGGGAGCCACTGCACGGGCGGCCGGAGGTTTTATTTAGCGGGGGCGGTGACGGGTCCCCTGACGGCCCCGGACAGGGGCCCTTTTTTAAAGGCAGCAGAGAGGCCCGGGGGCAATTGCCACCCTGCTCCCCAGCCCAGTCCGGCCCTGCTCCCGACGCAGAGAAGGGGGGCCTGCTGGCCGCTGTATACCAATCCGATGCTATCCGGGACAGTGCTGGGCCCCACCGGTGGTAGTTCCGCCACTGCCAGGGACTGGGAGAGACAGTGGGGATTGGGAGAGGCAGTGGGAACTGGGAAGAATTTGTATTGCATTTACATTGTATGTCACTGAACAGTGTTAGTGAGGTGTGTGATGATTGGTTCGGTGAATGCAGGCACGGGCAAGTTTTACATTTGATGAATGCTGGGGACTGGGAGAGACATAAAATAAAATATATGTATTTCAGATTGTAGTACTTATTTTATTTAGATTTTTTTTCATATATCTGCGGTGCTCGCTGGCTGATTGAGCCCACCTAATATATCCATGTACTTGTACTACCTGATAAATCATACAATAAGATTTAAATTAAAAGTATAGCCCACTTGAGAGTTGCACAGCCCACCTGAGAGCCTGTATAGGCCACCAAGCCACCTGGAGACATTAGGGCGCCAACTCAGAACAACACAAAATATATAGCTTGCTAATGCAGTACGTTTTTGCCGCGTTCCAGGTTTTTTGCTGGAGTGGGGCTGTCAGTATGTTAGCTGCAGTGCGTTTCTTACGCGTTTTGCGTTTCCGGTCCGTACAAAATGTGACATGCAGTATTTTTCTGTCGTAACCTGAACGGACTGCGCACCTGAGAACTGTAGCCCATAAAACACATGGGGATACATTTTTAGTGCAGGAGCGTACGGATCAGGTCAGCGCAGAAAACGGACGCCGTGTGAACAGGCCCTTGATTGGCCATCCTACTGATTTTAAAATGTTAGCAACTCTGCAGAGCTAGTGCAGTAACATGACTGATCTCTGCCATTTAGCAGATAGGAATATGCAAGTTAGTAAATATCGTGAAGTTATCAGATCGTGGTGCCAGCCTCTAGTAATCATCCGCTGTCTGACTCTGCATTCACCGAACCAATCATCACACACCTCGCTAGCACTAAGCACCGTCCCCATCCCTCTCTGACAGTCTATATACATTCTGTCCCGTTCTGTATCACTGTCATACCAATATACATAGCGATCAGCTGACAGCAAAGACAGCCAACCGTGCTCTTCAGTCCTCACAGTAAAAACAAGGGGCGTGGTTGGGAGACGGCTCTATGGATGCTGATTGGTCAGGAGGGCGGAGGCCAGAAAGGCATTGGACGAGGGGGCGTGGTTTAATTGTGGCGGGTGTTTTGGAGCTGGGCAGTGTCTAATCTGGCGGGAAGCTGCTCGCTGTAGGAGATATTCGGAGACCATGGAGGGATTGCCGGAGTTCTACGTCCTGTGCAATACTCAGGAGCCCCCCGTGAGACTGCAACGGTAATTACTGGGAGGGGAGGAGCTAAGTTTTTACATCACCTGTGCCTGCGAATTATTCGTCCTCGTGACGTCACCCAGGGTGCTGTTTTGATCTCATTCTCTATTATTGATAGCGGCCATCACCCTGCAATATGTATAAGGTACCGCCCTGGTGCTATAAGACAGCTGCTTCAGATGAGTTTACAACGCACCAGAATGTCAAACAAAATGCACATGCACGATTTTGGCAACCAAGTGCACGGTAGTGTAGTGGTGTCCTGCAGTGCATGTGTGTTGGGTGCCAATCAAGGTGAAAGGCACTGTAATGTGACAACACACTTGGGCCTTGTCCAAGTTATTACATTGTGCATGCATCTTGCAGTGTGGTCTGAATGACACCCCAATACACCTTGTTGCTGAAGGTGTCATACACTGCAATGTTGGTGCTGACACTGTCCTTTCTGCAGGGTGGCTACTTTTGTTCCTCATGGTCCCTGTGTGTTGTCTGGTAGCCACCGCTCCAAACTCACTACTGTGATGGACTACAATCTCACATTTAATTGACTAATTTATATTGAGATTGTAGTCCATCACAGGATTGAGCTTGGAGAGGTGGCTACTGTACAACACACAGGGACCATGAGGAACAAAAGTAGCCACCCTCCAGAGGCAGGTCGTTTAATGTAAAATCAAGGCTTGATCGCATCATAACACAAGGGTTAGGTCGCCCATAAAGCTTTAACTTGCTAATTTAGTTTTAAAATGTTGGTGTTTTTTTCCTCGCTTTTTGGGGGAGACTTATATTACTAGGGCTGCAACAACTAATCGATTATAATCGATAATGAGAATTGTCTAGCTGCAAAGTTTATTCGATTAAGTCGATTAAAATCGACGATGGAAAACGTTGTCAACGTTTTCCATCGTCGATTCGTCGGCTAAAATTAAAATTTCCCGCACGCCCGCTGCTTACGCCACACCCACGCTGGTATACCCGCTCACCGCTGCACGCCACGCCCACGTCGGTTGAGCCGCTCGCGCCTACGCTGGTATACCAGCTCGCATTTTTTAAATCTGATTAATCGATGAATCAAACGTAATAATCGGCTAACTAATCGATTATGAAAATAATCGTTAGCTGCAGCCCTAGAATTGTCAATCGATTACTTGCTGCTGCCGTGGCTTTGCTTCCCCATTCTCCTCCCCGCTGGTGTTGGCTGCAGCGGTCTGTGTCCCATTCAATCCCCGCTACTCTCCCACTTGTATCGGCAGCGGGGACACAGACCACTGCAGCCAGCACCAGCTAGGAGGAGAGAACGTTGTGCCTTACCCCGCTGTCTCCCTGCTGGCATCCTTCCTCTGCTGCTGCCCTTGTACCTTTGCTACTCCCCTTGCCCCCTTTTCTGCCAGCGGTAGAAAGCCGGCATCAAAGTTCCCATCAGTGGCTGAGAGCAATATCCAACCTGCTATTGGTTATTGTAAATTGCAACAGCAGGCTGGCTATTGCACCTGTCCACTGCCTGCTGTCAATCAGCAGAGGAGGACCTGAAGGAGAACATTTTCCTTCTGTTCCTTCCTCTACTGATTGACAGCAGGCAGTGGGCAGGTGCAATAGCCAGCCTGCTATTGGCTATTGCAATTTAAAATAGCCAATAGGAGGCTGGCTATTGCTTCCAGCCACTACTTGATTCAGCTGCCTCAGCAGCTTTATCCAGTGAAGTGGAAAGGTGACACTAGGGGTCTAGAAGACCCCTAATGCCACCTTATACAGAACCTGTCACCTCCAATGTGGCATCTCATAGGGGGCTTGTGAGCTCCCCCATGTGATAGCAATGAGGTAAAAAAGAATTAAAATTCCTCCCCCCAAATGTAAAGTCCCCCAACCCTGCAAACGCATTTTAAACCTTTATTTATAAAATATTACCTAGGGATTGTGTTTGCTTTTATATATCTGCTCAGCAATGAATGCAGTTCCTGTGTCCAGTAGGCTATAACAATCATGTCTTGTTGATATAAAACATAGATAAGCGAATGCCTTCATTTATTTCTTGTTTTGTTTTCTGTCTCTTTAGACTGCCATCTGCTTCTCAAGAATCCTTCCTGCTTTCTGCCCCAGTATTGCCCTCTAGTTCTTCCCAGCTGTTGCTTTTCAGTGTTGGGGACTGGTCTAGATTGTCCCATGATAGTAAATTTAAGGTCCAACTGGAAGCAATCGGAGGCAAAAAGATCAGCTTGGGAACACTGTCTCGTGAATCTAGGTAACGTGTACACAAGTTAACGTAGTATTAAACTGTCAAACTTTTTTCAGTGACGAATCCAGATCAAATAAATATACATTGCCCAGTAAAGTAGTTCAAAGTTTTTGGCCAAACACTTAGTCATCATGTTTCTGAACAGCTAGCTCCGACTCTCAGCCCCGCTTCCCTGAACTTTCTGTTGAGTGCAAGATAATAAAAGACAGAGCATACTCCAGCAGCTGTCCATCTAGTACAGCGGTAGCCAAGCTCCGGCCTTCCAGCTGTGTTGGAACTACAAATCCCATGAGGCATTGCAAGTTTCCCACAGACATGACTCCCAGAGAGTTTCCCCCACAGCTGGAGGGCCGGAGTTTCGCTACCCCTGATCTAGTATCTTGTAGAAAGGAGGAGCTGGGGAGTGGTTTGTCTTGCTGTGTCTGCGTTTGTGGGGACACACACCGCTTACTGGCACACACAAAGGTGGCACCATTGGACCCCCTAAGGGAAAGGAGCCATCCTAAATATATCGGCCCCGAATATCAGGAGCAGAGTTTAGGGACGAGCTGATTCTGCGGGAAACTAAAACTTTTAAACATCAATGAGCAGCATCCATTGTAAGTGATTTATTCAGCATCTAAAGATTTTCAGTGCCTTGTTTGTGATTTTTCATGCCAACTGTCAGATTAGTATTTATTAGAATTATGTCAAATTTTAATGTGGAGCACAATGCAAGTGTTCTGTGATTTTTACTCACATCAGCCCTTCCTGCTGTTTCATTTCTAGCATTCTATTCCATTTATTTTTACGTCAGCAGTTTCTTTCTAATTTGTCATTCTTGTATAACCTGTAAAGTAATTTAAAAAAATTAAAACCAACCCCGCTGCCCCCTCCATCTCCATGTGAATAAATGCACTTGTAGGGCATTGTGTGTGTGTGTACACTGAGTGCTGCCCCCATTCCACTGTGTGCCATATTGTGGTAGCTGGGCAGCCAATAGTGTGCGGTGATGTGCTGCTAACAAATGTGTAACCTACAAGTTCAGGCCACTGATCTCAAGACAAAGACTTTAAAAGATCAAAATAATATAAACATAAACTATACCTCCCAAAAAAATGAACTAAAACTTAAAACCCCAAACGCAAAAAAAGCAATCCTAAAAATGATTGTTGGGTCTATTCCCTGTGAATGCAACGGGTGGCACACAGTCACACCACATTGCAATTCAGAGTAATGGAACACTGATGCCACTGAACAGCACAGTGAATCATTCAAAAATAATTTAGATGCCTTCCTCCTAAAATACAAGGGTACAGGTACACTTAAAGACTAGAACACACACACGCTGCCTTAAAGGGCAAGTTCGCTTTCCCAAGTAATTTGGGAAAAGGGAATTACCCGCTCAAATGTGTCCCCTTCTCCACCCCCGCTATACTTGCCTTTCAACGAACAGTCCTTCCACTCCGCCTGTATGGGTGTACTATCTGTACCCCGTACTACCGTCCAGTGCAGCCCTGTGCCATGGATTCTGAATTTCGCTCGCAAATTAGCACTGTTGAATACGGTTTTGGCTGTTTTTATTTTTTGTATCACGGCAAGTAGATTGTCAGGAGGGACAAGTAGATTGTCAGGAGGGACAAGTAGATTGTTACAAGGGACAAGTAGATTGTTAGGAGGGACAAGTAGATTGGGCCCCCACTTTAGTCCTTGGACAAGTAGGTTTTTTTTTTTTTTTTTTTTTCACACCACTGCAGTCATTACAAAGCAACTCTGGACATTGATACCGCCAAAGAAGTAGGTACCTATGAATGTGGTAGGTGTCATTTATGTCCCTGGATAACCCAGGGCAAATCTGTTACCCTTCCTTATGGTAAAAAGTGGACCCTGCATAGGTTTTTGAACAGACAAGCATTAGATTATTATTCAAACCCTGTCTACAGCTAGATGTGGTATATTCGAATAAGAAAAATGTGCCTTTTCAATCCATTTAACAGAAATAGCAATAGATGTAATGGTGTACTATGGAAAAAGAACATCCTTGGCATCAAAATGCTGATATTGCTTCCTTTAGCATAAATGACTTCTGCTAGGCATTTTGTGTAACTGTCCACCGTTTGATGACAGAAACTTTTCACCATTTCTCCATGCAAAATGTCTTTAGTTGCAATAGGTTTGTGGGTTTCCTTGCATGAACTGTCCATTTCAGCTTCTCCTTAGAAAATTTCAGTGGGAACGAAGTAGAGGCTTTGACTGGGGCTGTCCACAACCCTCTGTTTTCTTTTGAGACATTCCTTGGTGTTGGGCTTCAGATCTTTATTGTAATAAAAGACTAATTTTCATGTCAACTTCAACTGAAGGCGCACGCAATTTTAAGGCTTGACATGTTTGGTGTCTATTTACCCGATGTGACCCCGACTTTTATATTTTACCAAAAATATGGGTAAGAATACATGTTTTTTAACATAACGTAGGGAAAACATTTTTTATTTTTCAAAATTGACGGTACTTTTTTCATTATATAGTAAAACAAAAACCCCAGCGGTGATTAAATACCACCAAAAGAAAGCTCTATGTGTCCCTAAAAATTTTTAACATAAATTGCAAGGCTATAGTCCGGTCGTGCTGACTGGTGACATTTTTGACTGACTGGTGAGACACCATAACATTTTTCAAGCCTTGCAAATCTGCATTTCTCTTTTATTTAGATTATGAAAATGAATACATCATGTCAATTTTATGTGTTCAAGTATATCACCTTTATCTGTAGGTAGTATTTAGATCAAGATCTAAAGTTTTTCCTGTTCAACTATCTCCATGGGGTGCACTTACTTTTTTATGTGGCTGTATATATATTTTGTCTGAATTTAGGTTTAAACAGAAGTCAATATTTAAAAGCTGAAAACATATACCACCAAGGGTGCCATTTGCAGGGCATAACTACAGATGGTACTCTTAACAAAATCCAGAAACATAAAAGCAGTGTATTTGGCTTGTAGCCAGGATTGTACCTGATACATTTATACATGACTTTAATAGATTGTAAGCTGTTTTACTTGAAGGGACTGATATGTATAGATAAGTGTTTAACATGAGAATTGTCAAATAAAAATAATATAAACCAATCTGATGTAAGACATTCTATTCCTAAAACTAGATTTTGCATGATCCTGATAAATGTATCTCATACTGCAGGTGTTTCGTCTGGGAGTGTGGTTCAAGTGATGATCTGACCTGTAAGTTGGATGGCTCTGAGCTGCATGTCACAATGCTAATGCAAGGGCAGGTAAGAATATGGGCGGATGAACACTATGGTTTTTAAAGGCGCATTCCAATCAAAAGGAAGCCCTGGGATTGTAAAATGGGTTTTTCTGGTATGCCAACAAGATGGCAGACCAAACCCAAATTTTGCTTAGACTGGTAGTTTTATTATCCTCAAGGGTGCACAGGGTCACATTGAGTGAAGCTTATTACATTGACAACATGATGCAACTTTGCATACCACTTGTCTATTTTGATGTATCATATCTAATAACACACCCTATGATTATTAACTCATTGTCTTATGATCATGATTGACACCTTTATAAAAATAGAAATGGTTATCTCTTATGATCTTGAGTAACATGTTTACAGCAATATAATGTATACAAACTTCAGTGATGAAAATAATTTCAATTTCCTAGCCTATGAAGCCAACCAACACTCCAATATATTACACAACCAATGATAAACTTAAAACTGCAAAAACAAAAAGCTTTTAATGCACCGTGCAAACCAGTGAACTCCACATGTTTGTACAATAATAGATAAAATCCAGATAATGAATATAAAAGAATGCCAAATAAGATGTTCAAAGCCTTATCAGAATGAGGTCATTCTTTTTAGTGAATATTAAGTGTCTTCCTGTGGTAACACACACCCTAAGTGCTTGCCTCTACTTCAACCTCTGCGAACAGACTTTCACATGTCTGATATAAAGAAAAGGTCATCATAAAATACTGATCCTGTCTTTACATGTGGTCCATCTTTAAGGCTGGGTTCACACCTGAGTGTATTTTTTCGGCTTGTTTTTTAGCACGTTTTTACTGGTGGTATGATTTTTTTATTTTTTCCTTATCTCTATTTTAAAAAAAATCACTTTCGAACTTCCCGCCGGCTCTGCCCCCCTGCGACGCAGCCGCTCACAAGGGACGGAACCCGGAAGTCGGCAGCCGCCGGAGGACACAGCGGGGGATCGCAGACAAGGTAAGACCTGTACGCTGTATTCCCGAGTGTGGCTCGGGGTTACCGATTTGCTAACCCCGATCCACACTTGGGAATACCAATGGAAACGCGTGGAAAAACGCCCCAAAGAAGCTCATGTACTTCTTTGGACTGAAAAACACCCATGTGGGAACCATGCCCATAGGCAATTATTGGTTTTCACATGTTTCGCGTTTTACGAACGCGTAGGAACGCGCTGTAAAACGCCCAGGTGTGAACCAGGCCTTAAGGTGAGAGTCTGTTCACTGAGGTTGTTGAGACAAGCAATGAGCAACGTGTGTGTTACCACAGGAAGACACTAAATATTAAACAATAATAATGACCTCTCTGATCAGATCATTTGCTGATCAGATCAACAACCTTGCTGTGGTTTTCGGGGTCCTCCACTCTGCTTGGGAACCCGGGACCACGGCAAATGAGCTCAAGATGGAGAGCTGGGAGCAGAACGTCCTTTCTTCGCTCTGCGTGATCAGTGAGACCGGAGTGCTGTAATCACGGCACCACCTGTCTCAGCTGTCAGAAACTGCACAGAAGATCTGTTCTGTGATGGAGGGCAGGTTCCATAAAGAGAATGATGGGAATAAAATTAGGTGAAAAAATAATAAAATATATAAAAATTTAAAAAAAGAAAAAGTGATAAAAATTAAAACCAATCCCGCTGCCCCTGCCACCTGCATGCAAATAAACGCACATTGTGTCTGTCACCATTCCACTGTGTGTTTATATTGTGGTAGCCAGGCAGCAGAACTCGCTTACATGTACAAAGTGCATTAAAGTGTTAGTTCACTTTTCAAAGTAATTTGGTAAAATGGAATTACCGATCAAATCTGCCCATCCCCCCCATCCTCCCCCCCGCCCTACTTGCCTTTCCGCGAACAGTCCTTTCCCTCCACCAGTACGGGTGTACAATCTGTACACTGTACTGATGCCCAGTGCAGTCCTGTGCCCTGCATTTTGAATTTCACTTGCAAATTGCAATTGTTGGTCAGCGTGGTCAGGCTCAATGAGAAGCGCTTCTTAGCACAGTTAAATACAGTTTTGATTAACACTATTTGTATCGGGACAAGTAAATTGGGCCCCCGTTTTAGCCCTTGGGCAAGTAGTTTTTTTCCCACACCCCTGCACAAATAGGGACTGGCAAGCTGCAATATATAAATCTTTTGTTCGGTTTAGATAAACTTTAAGAACAATGGACCAAACCAGGAAAGCAAGAAGAGAAAACGATTGAAGGTTGAAGCGGAGAACATTTGTCCTAACAAGGGGCTTGATAAAGGTGATGCAGCTAAGCAGAAGAATAAGAACAGTAAAAGTGCTCCATTGACCAAGCCAACAGGTCTTGTCAAAGCCACCAGTGGCATTTCAGGTAAGTAAGGGACCTCTTCATAAGGGCATTTTGTCATGAAATTAGGAAGTAATATATGATCTGAGTTTCCCTGTTTTGCTTTTAGCCTCCTTTAACATGATATAATAGTCATTAAGCTGTATTCAGTAACATAACTTGCTTTGCTAAATAGCTTTTGTTTTTACATGTAGGTGTCCCATCAGGACGTTGGGGTCATGCATTATGCCCTGCTGATTCTGAAACAGTGATACTGATAGGGGGACAAGGCACACGTATGCAGTTCTGTAAGGATTCCATGTGGAAGCTGAATACAGGTAAACCTAATTTGGAATTCACCTTTGCCTCAAGTGAAATTGACGCCAGGGTTAGAATGTAGAAGTGTTTGGTATACTACAGGGCTCAAAATTTCAGGTCCTGAGCTACTAGCCAGGCCTTCGAAGTTACTCGCCACCAGTTGCCCTTCATAACACAAACAAACACACACAGGGCACAACGCGCACACAGCACAACACACACGAAATCCAGAATGAACAGGCTGTAATGTAAATCACATCCTGTTCATTCATAACTGGGGACACATAGCACTATGTGTCCCCAGTTATTTACAAACACTGGAGTGATCAGACGATCGCTCCAGTGTTTGTCCTTCTCACACGGAGGATCGGTAAATATCAATTATATTTACCCATCCCCCACTCTGCCTCGCACAGAGCCGCTGTCATCCTGAAACTGACAGGATGACAGCGGCTCCGATCTCCTCGCCGCTCGGCCATCCTGACAGCTTCGAGCGCGGCTTCTCGAGGGGGCGAGTGGAAATTTTGTGGAAAAGTAGCCCTGGTCTACTACATAGTGTTTTAGTTGTACTGCATGTGAAGGAGTTTCGGTAACTTTTCCCATCTGTTGCGTCGCTAATTCTCATTGCAACTTTAAATGTTTGGCAGCACTACCGTAGTTTTTTTTTTCTTTGTGTTTTTTTTCAATTGGAGTGACATTAAATATTGGTTTATATACAGTATATTTAATGTAAGCAGATGGCTAGATTAATGTAGCTGCTTATGCATTATTCTTATGATTTTAGAGACGGACACATGGTCTCCTGTGGAGGCAGTGGCTGATGGTTCCACTCCAGAAGCACGCACAGGTCACACTACAGTCTTTGATCCAGAAAGCCGCCGGATTTATGTGTTTGGAGGTTCAAAAAACAAGAAGTGGTTTAATGATGTTCATATTTTGGATACAGAAGCCTGGAGATGGAGGAGTGTTGAGGTTCGTGAGGACATGCTTTCTAATAGTACTGCTTTCACCTTTACCTGTTTTGGGCTCAAATTTAATCTAATTGAATATTGCAATTTTCTCTCTCCTAGGCCCAGGGGAAAGTTCCTCCTCTCTCCTATCATTCTTGTTCTCTGTTTCAAGGAGAATTATTTGTATATGGCGGCGTATTCCCTCGTCCAAACCCACAGCCAGATGGTTGCAGTGATTCTGTATACATCTTTGATCCTCAACATGAAATTTGGTACCAGCCCATTGTTTTAGGGAAAAAACCATTGGCTCGCTCAGGGTAAGAATTTTCTGCAGCAAATTCTCATGTGCTTCCTGACCTAAGAAAGGTAGCCGTCTACTGAAAAATCGGGTGTGACTGTGGTCAAGAAGGGATTCTATCAGATAGCTTAACAATTGGTGGCTCTACAACATTAGTGTTAATTGGATGTTAGAAAAAGATCCATCTGCTGAAAGATCTGTTTCCTCTGAACGTGCTCAGAATGTGACCTGAACCATTGAGATGATCTCTGCTGCATGAAAAGGAAACATTCCAAAAGATCAGTCCACAATATATAGTATGACCAATCCATTGTACTGAGACCCAACACACAAAATATGCCTATTGTGTAACATTTTACTGAACCTGTATAGTGAAAGGATTGAACTGTTACCCTTAACCCTTTTCTGACAAGGAGCCATTGAAATCTAGATTCCCAGACCAACTTTAGCAGCTTCAGTATGCATCAGTTAACTTGACAATAAAGGTGTCCATGCACCTTACAATTATTCAATTTTATTTGTCCTGTCATCACACCCTCGTTCAACTTCTGCACAAATAGCCCATCATGCACAGACCAATGTAGATTTCGATAATCGTAATACTAACTGGCCAAATTTCGTTGATCGTATTTGCAGTGTTCATGCTGCGATTTTTGTACGAAAATGCCACTAATCCATCGATTTTCGTCTGTTTTGATGAAAAGTTTTCTAGTCTGGCTGTTCAACCAAATTCGGCCAGTTGTACAGTAATTGCGATGCTGCGCTTCCCATCAACTGGCCGATTATTGTACGAAAAACGGAACGCATTCGTTTTTTCGAACGATAATTGTAAGTAGGGGTGCACCGATACTAGTATCGGTGCTGATGCCGAGTATTTGGGCGAGTACTCGTACTCGCCCAAATGTTTCGATGGCTAGCCAGGTGGCTCTTTAAAATTGTAGACAGTCCCCAGTTCAGTTGTCTTTCATGGGCCTGTTAGCGTGTTTTTTTTTGATTTGTGCTTACCCCTCAGTTGGTCTGCTTTTAGGCATCTTGCAGTCCATTGAGGGACCTATGTTCAACCCTTGTGTGTTTATAATCATACTTTTGGAACGACTTGCCATAGAACTGAGGCACGCTGGTGGTAGAAGGGGTTTTCCCAGGACCGGCTTACAGTTTGTTTGCTTGCCAGTTTCCAATCCCCCTGTAGGCGGCAGCATAACACGAAGGTTTAAGACAACCTGTGTCCCTCAATGAACTCTAAGGGAAGGATTTTTATGGTGAATTTTTTTACTTCATTCTTTTTTTCCCCTTAGGTAAAGACATACAGTATATGCAGTATATGATTATTTGCCATGTTTATTGTATGTTAAGGAGAGAGGTCTGCTTAACGGATCTATTTTCTTCTGTTTAGGCACACTGCCAGCTTATTAAACAGAGAGCTCTACATATTTGGAGGTTGGGACACACCAGTGTGTTATAATGATCTCTTTCTGCTTGATCTGGGTAAGTAACGATTGTAAATATTGTTAAATGGCTTCAATTTACCTAAGCAAAGAAAGTCAAACTTCGATAATCAGTCTTTTTAGTTGTCCATAGTATTTTCATTAAAAAAACAAATGTAATGTTCACTTTCCCTTTTTACATGTACAGTTATAAATAGTTGTAAAAGATATGTGAACTTAGAAGTATTATTGGGGTTGTTTTGTGTACAAATTACATTTGCCTCTATGGCTCTGTTTTGCCAGTTAGTCTTAGGGCCGGTTCACACTAATTACGGTGCGTTCCAGAGTGGTAGCTGCTGGAACACACTGTAATCGCATACTAAACTCCCCCCTTCCTTCCAGAGCGGGAAGGGGCATGGCAGTGCATTGCCATCAATGGCACCCCAGCCAATCCCCCTGCCCACAGTGCGATCGGACTTGTGGCAAAACATTGCCTGCATTCTGGTCCAGTGCGAACGCAAAAAAACACAGCTACTGCTCTAGAATGTACCGTAATTGGTGTGAACTGGCCCTCATTCCAGCCTGTGTTCAGAAGAGGGTTGGAGCTTTACAATAAAATGGCAAATTGGTGGTACATGGGTAAGTGCAATCTGCACACAAAACTCAACCTGACATGCTACACGAATACCATCTTACTGAACCTTTCAAATTCCTTGATTTGTAACCAACCAGTTTCTGGTAAAACATGGGGTTACTCTATCCTGTTGTCCCCGGCTGGTGCAGCATATCGTGCCAAACCATGTGTGCTTGTAGTTATTGGGGATGATTTACTAGAAGTAAGAGCATAAGTGAATTTTTGGAGGATTGAATTCAGTACAACTTAACCTCCTTTACCACACAATGGGAATTTACACTAAGCTTAGTGAGTTGAAATTGTGCAAGCAAAAATTATTTTTTTTTGTTTGTTTTTTCATTTCGCATGATTGGCTATTCTTTGCAACGTGAATCTTCATTTTGTTTCACCTCATCCAAAAGGGAAGTGTAAAAAAAAAAACACTTTGAAAGTAAACCTGCTCTATTCGTTTAGTAAATCAGGGTCATTGTGTTAAAAATGGGCCTATTATTCGCTTAAAGTGACATTAAACCCTCAGATTTTTTAACATAAACCAATACTGTAATGTGTGCCTTACTGTAATCCATGGTTGTTTCCCTTCTCTTTGCTGCTCTTCCTTTTAAATCCTCATGTCTTCTCATGCTGGGGGAGATCTTCCCTTTGCAGCTGAGTGCCTCTTCCTGTAGTGCTGGCTCAGGTTACAAGCCTATACACAGACACCGTGTATCCATTCCTGAGACAAGGCAGTCTGCTGCAAAACAGATGTTCTGCTGAGCATGAGAAGAGATAGATTTAAAAGGAAGAGCAGCAAAGAGAAGGGAAACAACCATGGATTACAGTAAGGCACACATTACAGTATTGTTTAATGTTAAAAAAATCTGAGGGTTTAATGTCACTTTTAAGTAAATCTGGTACATGTCAGTATTGGCCAATAATATTATTTTTGTATATAGAAAAGTACCTTTCTTTTACTTTGTACGAATAACTATTTCAAATGTACAGAACATGCTTTCTGCGCTTACCAGCCTTTACTGCTATTACAATGTGCTGCCAACACTACATTTATTAAAAACTTGAATAAAACGAAATTAAAATATGTAACGCGCGTGATGCACTGTTATCAAAAATAGTTGTATGGATAACTTGCTCCCAAACTTCTAGCCTGGGGTGCCTAGATCACATGGTCTTGACTACAAAGCATTACTGCAGACATAATGTTCCTTGCAATAAGCAGTGAGATCTGTTTATCAAAAGGAAGCTCACATGTAATGTACAGGTTAAAATTACAAACTATTTTAAGAAACAATATCTTTAATGAATGCAAATTGTTTACATGTAGTTGATCTTTCACATGTATGTTTAAGTAACATGAAAAAGGCTATGGTTCCCATTCAATGACTTTTACATTTGTGTGCTATGCATACAGTCTATTGATATTACTGATGTATGTAGCAGTGTTAAATTAGATTTGTGCAAAAAAAAATATATTTCTCAATGCACCATTCTCTGCATTATTTGGAACACACACATGTTTAGTTAAAGCAAATTAAAAAGGATGTGATAAAAACACAAAGTGAAAAGGACCGAAATATCAAGTTCTAACATTTTTTTTTATTTGCTCTAGGACTTATGGAGTTCTCTCCAGTTGAGGTAAATGGGACCTCGCCCAGCCCTCGTTGGTAAGCAAAACTTGTAACCCTATCTGGCTCAGTGAACCTCACATATGAAAATATCTCAAAGAAGAACTGACTGATATTCCCACTGGAATTGCATTGCAATTTTTCTGTTCTGTGAAATGAAGAAACTAATTTTGTTTAGCATTCATTAAAAGGACATAGGTATTCAGAGACTGTTGGGTTATACTGCCACTGCAGGAGAATTTGGACACTGGCAAAAAATGTTTTGGCCAATTCAGTATAACCCCTCCTACTCCCAGCATGCCTCGTTTTTTTGCTAGTGTTTAGAAGGATGGACGTCTCTGCTCTGCTGAGAAAAAAAACTTGTTTTGATAGCTGTTTTTTTTTCTTCAGTCAAGATTCATTCTTTTTCTTCAATTAAGATTTTTTTCTACAAGCTGCTGGAGTTGGTCTCAGATCAGAATTTCCTCAGCAATAGCTTGGGAGGCCGTAACTGGTTCCAAGTAGACAGGATGATTGTGCGGATAGCTTGGAATGTAACCTTTTGGGCTCTGAGCTCTGCATTGTAGTGCTTTCCAAACCTGAGTGTACTGTTAATTAGCCACAGATTTCTTTCAGAGTCCAGAGCCATGGCACAACTCCAGGTGAGACCATGTCTCTGAAGACTCACTTCATGAGTAGGTTGTAAGCCGTGAGGGCAGAGCACTGGGAGATACTCAATTCTATGACCATTAACCCCTTCATGACTGAGGCCCTTTTTTCCATTTTTGCACCCATGTTATATTCCACATTTTAGGCCTGAAAATGACGTAAAACCCCCCAACATTATATATTTTCTGAATGCCAAGACCCTATAGAATAAAATGGTGGTAGTTGCAAATTTTTATGTTGCGCAATATTAGCGCAACTCCTTATTAAACCCCAAACGGGAGTCTGTTTAAACAGCCCCGATGCTGGCGACGTACACTGTATGTCGTCAGTCACGAAGGGGTTAAGTGCCATTGTATCCAACTTGGTGTCTCCATGGGATCAATTCAGCCAGATCTATGCCTTACCTCCCCTAAAACTCCTTCGTCTTGGAAAAAAGCACAAAGAGGGGGGCGCCTTTCCTGGTGCAGATGAGGTGCAGTGAGTACACTCCTGTTACTTTTTTACCTGTTATTGAATAAACTCATCTGCACCAGGAAAGGCGCCCCCCTCTTTGTGCTTTTTTCTAGATGTCTCAGTCACCCAGACTGCAGCGGGGCTGCGTCCTGCATGTATGCACACCATCATACCCCTTTGAGGATTGATCATCTCTGGCGCTATTGTGTTATACTTTCCTTCCTTGTCTTCTCCGCAGGACCAAGAGGAAGAGCATTTTTGTGTTTCTCATATCCCTGGACTGACCCAGACAGAAGTGGTACTCCAAACCGATCAGACTTCTGGCAGAGGCTCTGTGGGCTTATCCAAACCAGGGACTGGTTTTTCCATCCTGCTCACGGTCGCTGGCTTTGGCTGTTGAAGCCAAAGTCCTGAGGGGCATCTCTGAATTGGCAATTCCCTCAGTGCTAAAGACTATAAGAAGTCTACTATTGCAAATGGAAAGCATACTTTGCTTGGTGTGAGGCACAGAACTTTTAGCCCAGGAAATTTTTCCATGGGATAAATCCTGGCCTTTCTACAAATAGGCCTGGATCAGCATTTGGCCACAAATACCATCAAGGAAGAAACTACCTTAGTAAGAAAGACTCTGGGCCTCAAGACAACCTTGTCCTGGTGGAGGACAAGAATGAAATCTTTACAAGATAGGGCTGCTAACGCAGACTCTCGCCTCGCAGAGGTGATGGCAATGAGGAAGGCCACCTTGTGAATGAGAGTTAGAAGAGGAATATTTCTAATAGGTTCAAAAGAATGTTTTTAATGAGCTGACAAAACCAGGTTGAGATCCCACAGAGTTACTGGTGGTTGCGCAGGAGGAATTATGATTGACACCTTGTACAATGGCCTTCACTAAGGAGTGAGGGGCACGCGGTCCTTGGAAAAAGATTGCATGTGCTGAGATTTGCCCCTTGATGGTACTAAATGTTGATCTAGACAAGACTGGAGAAAGTCTTTTGTCCCAGGAGCCAATCTGGAAGAGTCCACCGGGTATATGCCAGGTGTCTGATGAGGACTTTTTGTCAGCACATGTACGGTTCTGACCAGTTCATTTTTATTCTCGACATTAACATGATGTAAATATTCATGGTGCCCTAAGTGCAATATGCATTTTTACAATGGGTGTGGACCAATCCTTATATGGGACCATCTGAATGTGTATATATTATGAAATCATAGTTTGACAAATACTAGTGTATCTGTCAATGTCCCTGCTCCTTTATGCATCCCACAGAAAAGGGGAAACACAATAATGAATGGGCTAATGGAATGACCTGTTGCTTTGTATAAAGACATTATTGCAGCAAATGTAAAGTTTTTTCCCCTCAGCCCCTTGTATTGGAGCTGGTGCATTCTTATAAGTCTGTAAGTATACCATTGCATAGATACATGCTTTGCAGTTGCCTTCACTTTAACTTGCTTTTTGTGAAAAAGGAAAATAACCTAGTTCGTTTGCTGCTTGTCTTTCAATAAAATAACAAATGGAGAACTGCAAACTTTAATTCTAATGATGGCTATACCAGAACTGATGGTGGGAGTACAGATAAACGTCAGCATGTAGGTTTTAAACGGACAGTATTATGCTTATTAAACAAAGTGTTTTTTATAGAGTTATTGTATTCATAAAATGTTAGATTTATATATTTCTAAACACTGATCGTAGCTTTTCTTTTCAGCTGGCATTCAGCTGCCTCTGTGTCTGAAACTTCTTTCCTTATCCATGGAGGCTATGATGGGAATCGGGCATTAAATGACACCCATATGTTCAATACAGGTAAAATGTGACTTTTTTTGGCTTAAAGTGACATTAAACCCTCAGATTATTTAACATAAACCAATACTGTAATGTGTGCCCTACTGTAATCCATGGTTGTTTCCCTTCTCTTTTGATTGTGAGGATAAGATTTTATCTTGCTGCCACTTGTCTCAATTTATATGAATATATGGTGAGCAAGTGTTAGATCTCATGTTCAAAAAGCATTCAATTCACAGAGCTTATACGTGAAGCCTTGGGCCATGTGACGCTGGTGGCTCTGCCATTGGTGACACCTCAGTAATAGAATCACCAAAATGCGATTTTGTTGCTATTGATATAACTACTAGTATGTCTTTACTGGTGAGAATAGTTAAATTGTATGTTCTTCTCATTTTCCGATTGGATATTGTAAGGTGGGACAGTGAAATAATATACATGATATAATTATGTACATTGAAAGTAAAAAAAAAAATTTTCATTTACAGTGACAAAGACTTGGACTGCCTTGGTTCACAAATCATTGCCTTGTTTACCCCGTGCAGGGTACACTATGCTGACCCTGCCTGGTGTGAAAGAGGAAAACAAGGATTGCACACCTCAGGAATTGCTAATGTTTGGAGGAGGAGATAATGAGGGGCATTTCTACTGTGATACTGTCAGACTGCGGATAACAGATATTGTGGATCTGTAGAGTCCTACCTTCACTTCTTTTCATAAATCTTTTTTTCTTTCTATTTTGTATATATAACTTGTATTGTGATTGTATAGAATTTTAATAAAGACTTGTGAAAAATTTATGTTAGACTTGCTTTAGAGATATAAAAAAAAAAAAGTGTACAGCAGAAAGTGCAAATTGGAAAACAAAACGACTTGGCTTTATTAACAGAGCTTGTTTTCATTGGGTTGTACATTTGAATTCTGCATGTTCCCGGCCTTTCTGTACAGGATGTTTTTATATAGTTCTAAGTGGTCAGAAAGCACTTTTCATATTCTCTCTGTTTGTCCTATGTATCATAAAAGTGGCTTTGTTGTTTATGATCAAATACAGATTTTCTCTTGGTAAATAGTACTGTCTTATTTTTTACTTATTCTGGATCCTGTTATTTTGGTGCAAGTTTGTCAGCACTTCTAACTTTCTGTATTGTACATAGGTGGCAAAGCTTTTACGGCATGCTATTTTACGGTAGTGGCTTTCTGTGCAAATCTCAATATTATTTATTGTGGTTAACATTTTTTTGGGTGTAATACATTAATTTCATTGTGAGATCTGCATGGTGACCATCTACAATCAGAAAGAGATTGCAACAGTTTTAACTGCATCAGAGGTGTGCCAGGTAAAAGCCTTAGCTGTCTAAAAAGAACATCAGCAAGACCACAGTTTGTCATTGAATATAAAGGCAAAGATTAGGCCTTCTGTAACCATGCCCTGTAAACTGAATCAAAGATGGAGCTGTTTGGCCACAGTAAGTGCAAACTGAAGATTGCATTACAAAAGAACCTCATACCAACTGTGAAGCATGGTGGTGGGCAAGTTATAGTTTGGTGTTTTCTTTGCTGCATCAGGGCCTGGGCAGTCAATAAGTCAGCTATGAATTCTGCATAATATCAAAGTGTGATTTTGAGAATGATAGAAAATTGTAAAATCTGCGCTTGTGGGTAATTCTAATATGAAAGCCGCTGCCCTATGGACCCTAGGGTCAAACTAATGAAGTGCTAAATGTGCAGCGCTAAAAGGTGATACTTAAGTAAAAATCCTTAAAATCGAGTGTAATCGGTATCACAAAAAATATATATATAAATATACATATAAAGTATTATAGTGCAAAAATCAACTGAACAAAAGTATTCAAACAGTTTGTGATAGGCTCTATAAGGCCTCAGTGTAAACAATAAATTCACTCTTTTGTCACCCTGAGAGTGATGATTTCAAAAGTGCATAAATAATGTTCAATAACTACAAATGGCTGTATGCCACCCAGAGCAAATGAATTTTAAACCAGGCCTAGATGGTGATCCATCTAACAAAAAACCAAGTGCAATATTGGTGATATAATTCAAAGTGAGTTTGATGAAAAAACAAATGTTTCAACAAAGTGTTGGATAAATTCTTCCCACACCACTGTGCTTCAAGTGTCCACGAATACCCCCTCTGGGGTGCGCACTCACCCCACTTGTGGTAGTAAAGCAGTATAGACAGATCAGAGGGTCCACATCCCTGGTATCTCTCCCGGCAATGTCCCGTCCGTCAAGGGTTTATAAAATTATAAAAGAAACCTCATGGTGTGGTAGGTATAAACGTTTATTGTAAAAAACATAGAGAACTTACAATTAAAATGGAGAAGATCGGCCGGTAAAATGCACCGTCTGGATCGTCTGCAACTTCCTGGTTGAGCGTGGTGTCACATAGAATAGACCTGCTCTGACGCGTTTCGTCACGGATTACATCCTCAGGGGGTCACAGGTCTCCATTTTAACTGTAAGTTCTCTATGCAGGTGAACCAGAGGACTTTTCACCTCCAGATCTGCTGTTTGAGTGGGAAATAGATTGTGATCCTCTATGTGGTAGTAATGTTATACTCTGCCCCATCCCAAGATCTGCTTTGAGGCAGGTAAACATTTCAAGCGCTAGAGGCATTAGGAATAAGTGTGTCAAGGACAAAACCAAAGAGAAACTTCTCTAAAAATTGAGTAGATCAAATGTTCCTTTTCCGTATCCTCAGCATGCCAAACACAGTCAAATAGCCTTTGAACAGACAAAATGAGAAGGACATCAGCAATGCTTGTAGGAGACCATCACAGCTGAACTGCATGGCTCCAGACAATTGATCCAAAAGCTCCAGGATGTGAAGGCTTAATAGCAGGTTGGAGCAGTATTGTTTAAGAGATTTGATGCATACTAACACAAATTCACAAATCTTAGACACCGTCAATAAGGGATGTACACAGGACCGGATTTACCCTCCCTGCCGCCCCAAGGCCGGGTTCGGCAGTGCCCCCCCGAAAAGTGACAGTTTATTCCAAAGAACCGCTATCCTTTATGCTCCCCTCAATGCAGGGGTGCCCACAATTTTTTGTGTTGAGATCTACTTTTCAAATGACGAGCTACATGAGATCTACCAACGAAAAAAATCCCTTCCCTCGCTCTCTCTCTCCTGGCTGTTTCTCCTCGCTCATCCTCCTGGCTGTCTCTCCTCTCTCTCCTGGCTGTCTCTCCTTGCTCATCCTCCTGGTTGTCCTCTCTCTAACGGCTGTCTTTCCTCGCTGTCTCTCCTGGCTGTCTCTCCTTGCTCATCCTCCTGGCTGTCTCTCCTCTCTATCCTGGCTGTCTCTCCTCGCACATCCTCCTGGTTGTCCTCTCTCTAACGGCTGTCTTTCCTCGCTGTCTCTCCTCTCTCTCCTGGCTGTCTCTCCTCGCTCATCCTCCTGGCTGTCTCTCTCTCCTGGCACTCTCTTTCCTGGCTGTCTCTCCTCTCTCTCTCCTGGCTGTCTCTCTCTCCTGGCTCTCTCTCTCTCCTCGCTCTCTCTCCCCTCTCTCTCTCTCTCTCTCTCTCTCTCTCTCTCTCTCTCTCTCTCTCTCTCTCTCTCTCTCTCTCTCTCTCTCTCTCTCTCTCTCTCTCTCTCTCTCTCTCTCTCTCTCTCTCTCTCTCTCTCTCTCTCTCTCTCTCTCTCTCTCTCTCTCTCTCTCTCTCTCTCTCTCTCTCTCTCTCTCTCTCTCTCTCTCTCTCTCTCTCTCTCTCTCTCTCTCTCTCTCTCTCTCTCTCTCTCTCTCTCTCTCTCTCTCTCTCTCTCTCTCTCTCTCTCTCTCTCTCTCTCTCTCTCTCTCTCTCTCTCTCTCTCTCTCTCTCTCTCTCTCTCTCTCTCTCTCTCTCTCTCTCTCTCTCTCTCTCTCTCTCTCTCTCTCTCTCTCTCTCTCTCTCTCTCTCTCTCTCTCTCTCTCTCTCTCTCTCTCTCTCTCTCTCTCTCTCTCTCTCTCTCTCTCTCTCTCTCTCTCTCTCTCTCTCTCTCTCTCTCTCTCTCTCTCTCTCTCTCTCTCTCTCTCTCTCTCTCTCTCTCTCTCTCTCTCTCTCTCTCTCTCTCTCTCTCTCTCTCTCTCTCTCTCTCTCTCTCTCTCTCTCTCTCTCTCTCTCTCTCTCTCTCTCTCTCTCTCTCTCTCTCTCTCTCTCTCTCTCTCTCTCTCTCTCTCTCTCTCTCTCTCTCTCTCTCTCTCTCTCTCTCTCTCTCTCTCTCTCTCTCTCTCTCTCTCTCTCTCTCTCTCTCTCTCTCTCTCTCTCTCTCTCTCTCTCTCTCTCTCTCTCTCTCTCTCTCTCTCTCTCTCTCTCTCTCTCTCTCTCTCTCTCTCTCTCCTGGCTGTCTCTCCCCTCTCTCTCTCTCTCTCTCTCTCCTGGCTGTCTCCCCCCTCTCTCTCTCTCTCCTGGCTGTCTCTCCCCTCTCTCTCCTGGCTGTCTCTCCTCTCTCTTTCCTGGCTGTCTCTC